CTGTAATATTTGGCAACTTGTCGCCTTTTCCGATTCATACCATTCGTCATATGAATCAAAGCAGAGTATTCGTCTGGAGAATTTATTCTTGCTGACGTTTTCCTGCAACGAGTGCAACAAATGTCACATTGCCACAATACGGTACGACAATACGATGACACATCAATCAAGTCACTGTGAGTGACGCTTGAGGCAACAAATCGCTACTTATGGATTGTAAATATGCAAGTAAGATTTTGTTTGACTGACCATTTTGTCATGAGACATCAAGTAAACATTATGGCAAAATCTGATTTGACAATGTTTGAGCAAGGTGGTGTCTCGGTATGTACTGGACATTGGGACATATGCCCATGTGTGTTCAATGTAAATTTGTCTGTTAATGAGAGCGGTTTCGGTTTGGAACAAACGGAAGCATTTATGTTTTATATTTCGTTTAGTTTTGCTTGTTCTTACTTGATAAAAACTACATTTTCCATTAGACAAAATCAGTGTGCTATCAGACATTACATTTACAATATACCACCTGAAGAGTGAGTTGAGATTTTTACATCACATCGGCAATATTTCAACCATATCGTGACGAGAACATATATGATATTGAAATGGAATATATGTATATTATAAAACCTGTCGGCGAAGGACAGTAAAACAACTAGAATATCACAATTAGAATTAAAACTAGCGTGAAAGTTAAAACTAATAGCACTATTTGGACAATATAATATAAAAACAGGCTATAGATCGCCAATAACTGAAGGTAGATCACCATACTAGGAACCATGGGGACTTACATTACTTTTGCTACCTGCATGGAGCCTAGCTGGATTTACACCATTCCTTCAGCCGCTGGCGATTGTAGGATAATTTAGCCGAAATTTAAAAAGAACAAAATACTACGTTTAAAAACTTGGTACGTGAAAATTGTACTTTGAAAGTTTTGGGCACTTAGGTACCCTCTCAGGAGGACAATAATTTTACGCTATTTCAACCCCCTTTGAGGATACAGCCGTATCACCTAGGAATGAATTTCTGCAATGACAGATGATGCAAAGGAGCATTTAAAATATTATCGCTGAATTGTAGAGGCTTAAATAATAACTTTAAAAAGGAAACAATTTTTTCAGATTCTTGAGAAAAAAAGGCTCAAATATATTGTTTACAAGATGTTCATTTTACAGCTGATCAGGAACAACTAATAAAACAACAATGGGGTATAGTGAATGGTACATAAGTTCATTTAAAAGAATGCAAGGGGCAGCAATTTTATTTAACAATAAGTTTCAATTTAAGGTCATGCAAATAATAACTGACAAAGATGATGGCAACTATGTAGCATTGGATGTGATTATCAATGATAAGATATATACTTTGATTAACTTATATGGGCCAAATTCCGATAAACCAGAATTCATAAGACACATTAGAGAAATAGCTGAATAATAAACAGGTGAAAATATTGTTATATGTGGTGATTGGAATTGTTGATTTATCCTGATAATGATACCTTCAACTTTAGACATATAAATAACCCTAAATCAGGCCAGGAATTGTTAGAGACAATGAATTTCCTAGATCTCAAATACCCATGGCGAGAATTGCATCCTTCTACAAGAAGGTTTACCTAAATACAACCAACACCACTAAAGCAAGCTCGATTAGACTATTTCTTAGTTTCCCATAATGTTCTCAATTCCGTAGAGGAACCAAGTATCAATTCAGATCACTCGATAGTGCCACTCACAATTATGTTTTCAGATATACAAAAAGGGAAAGGCTTCTGGAAGTTCAATAATTGGCTGTTAAAGGATACGAAATATGTGGAAATTATAAAAAAAAAATAATAAGCGATACCCTGGAACAATATCAAGACAAAACTATAGAAGATGAAAGAGTGTTTACAATTAATGATCAATTACTATGGGAAATGTTACTGTTAAACATAAAGAAGCGTCAATACTTTTCAACTACATTGAAAAAGAAAACCTCTTGTGACACTGAAAAGGGGGTTGCAAGCCTATTTACTAAAACACCAAGCTTAATCATCTTTTCAGCAGTATACCTACTCCACCAAAACATATAATAGAAATTTTCAGAAAAAATGTTTTCAATTTATCTGGAAGTTCAAACCAGACAAGATCAAGAGGGAGGTAATGGTACTACACTAATTGTGGCATTAGTGTACCTGTTGTAGAAAAAGTAATTGCAGATCAGAAATTAGGATGGTTAAAAGATTATTTACTAGTAAACCAAAGTGGGCAATCATATTCTTTGAAACTGCAGTGAATACAAATGTCATGACTTTGGCTGATAGTTCATATATCTATGAAAATATTGCTCAAATATTCATAACACCTTTTGGAACGAAAACTGCTATTATGGAACTTATATCTGAACTGTGATGACACTAAAAAACAACTATTGAAGACATTATGAGCAAATCAGTTTGGGTATAACAATTCCATAAAAAAATGATGGTAAGCCCATATATATTGCACAGTGGCATAAAAAGGGTATAACATTTCTGAATGATTTTATTAATGAACATGGTAAAATATATTTGATATATTTGATGAATTTGTTAAAATATAGAATTAGAACCAATTTCGTGACTTATCGAGCAATAAAACAAGCTATGTTGAGTTATTTACAAAATATTAATAGGAATTATTTAGTGAAAATTCCTCAAGGACCAATATTGCCAAAATACATAATAAATCTGGATGTAAGGTACTTTATAAAATCTTGCATGAGCCTAATTTTACAAAACTTAAGACGTATTACACAAGTGTGGAAAGCTACCTTAGGAAAACATTGACTGATACAGAATGGATAAACTATAATATGATGGTAAAAGATGTACCCAGTAAGTGAATTAAGATGGTTTAAGTTGAAGGTTCTACACAATATGCTGAGTACAAATAGTTATTTATTTAAGATTGGTTATGTACCATTTGCAGCTTGTACCTTATGTAACGAACCAAATGAAACAATTTCACATATCTTATGTAAATGTTTATATTCTGTTGATATATGGGAAAAGCTACTAGAATGGATTGGAAATTATACAGAGGGCAGAATCACCTTTAGTGAAGATCATATATTGTTTAAAGGGTAAACATAATAATCCGTTGAATGTTGTTATCATGATAACAAAACCTCTCCTTTATACATTTAATAGAAAAATGACTAAACCAAGCTTTATAACCTTTCAAAAAACAGTAAGATATTACCAATCCTCAAGGTTTATTGCATATTCAAATTGTAACTTTGCAAGCTTTCATGCTTTCTGGTCTTCTTTCAATTTACTGTTTAGAAATCCTCTACACTAATTCCTGAAAATTGAATACATTATAAAATTATATATATACATACATGTATATGTGCATGTGTGTGTGCGTGTGTATCTGAATGTGTATGTATATATATATATGTATTCTATGTGTGTATGCATGTATGTATGTGTGTATGCATGTGTGTGTATGTATGTATGCATGTATGTATATATGTATGTATGTATGTATATGTGTATGTGTATATATGTTTGTGTTGCTATTACATTTACAACAAGTCAGATGAACTTATGAATGTTCAGAATGGATGGGAAAATGTAGCTTCAAAAGATCGAAAAAAAATATCAAACAAGTCAGGGTCTGTATCCTCTACTACCTTGTCACCAATTTGTTACTTATCATGTGGGAAATGAATCAACACAAACGAAGTATTTTTCTGGAGAATTTATTCACTGCAGTTTTCCTGCAACAAGTGCAACGGATGTCACGTTGCCACCGTCCCCATCAAAGGTCATGCTGACGGTGTTGGTTGTTTTTATCAGTGTTTCAGGTACCAAGAACTCCCATACGTTCCATGTTGTAGTCCTCCTTTTTGCATTCTTCATGGAATCAAACAGCATGTAGCTTGGAGACAAAGTGCGACCATTGAACACAACTGCCTTAGGTTTTGTATTGTCTCTCATGCCACGGCTAATTCCAACTCTAAGATGAGCCTCATGGTAGCCAGAGCTCGGTACACTGATGGTTGTCTTCGCACGTCCATTGCTAATGGGGACGAGCATTTCCTTGCCATAGTATGTGTTTTGATTATCTGTTTGTAATCTGTTAAAGATGTAGTTGGTTTGAAATTTGTAGAAGCATGTTGATGATCCAGGCAGACCGACGGTGCCATTAAGCTTAGATATGTCGAAATGGGTATTGGGATGAACAGCTGGCTTACCCTTTTCGAACAGAATACATGTCTGTTCACCTGTAGAAGGGTTAAGCCAGTTGTTTGGAAAGTCCAGTTTTACGTTCTCAAATTTGTTGCCAAAGTTGTGGAGAAGAACTACTATCTCTTTGTTGTGGGGGTTTGCAAGAGCAAGTGGTGACACTATTTTCTCCTGTCCATCGTGTTGACTAGAAACCCGGAGAAACTTTTGATCATCAATAAAGTTTTTCCAGAACAGGAAGAATTTGGTTGGCTCAAGGCTATGACCGTCAGTTGTAAATAAGGAATTCCGAAGAGAAGTATGACCTGGGTATTGCTCATTTGCGAGGAGATATATTGTAGCTCTGTCCATGAACTCTCTCAGGTTTAGGAAAGAAAACATGAAACCGTTCGCCTGATAAATTGTCTCAAAGTCTATCAGTGGATTTTCAAAATCGTTCGCCACACCCAGGGAAAGTAAGCCTACTCCAAATTCAGTGTTGACTAATTGAACACTTTTTCCTTTCTTGATATGAGAGTAATTCTCTACCATGTCAAGGGAAGCAAACAGACGATCTTCATTGATGCCATAGTAGGATTTACTAGACGTATTGAACATATGGTTGTAGGAATGAAAAGAAAAAAGTCCAAGTGATCAAGAGACATGTCCATAAAGTTAGCAGTTCTCTTCCACAAGCTAAAGTTATTTTCATCTGCTAGTCGTAAAGGCTTCACTCGTATAGGATGGTCCGGCAACTTTCATTCCAAATCTTGATTTCAGTTTGTCGGCGACAGCCCTAATGGTAATTTATATTCGTTGGTGGATCAATATACTTTTCATCCCAGTCAGGTTCATTGATTACTTCAAATATGTAAGGAAGGCGTCCTGCTGTGTAGTCCTTACAAGCCTGAACCATCAGTGACACAAACTCGGATGCAGCGTCAACATTGTTTGGGAATACATCTTTATGCTGAGACTTATCTATCCAGCCCGGCCATGCCAAACCTGAAGGGATGCAAAATATATTGCAAATGAAATTTTCATTTCCAGCATATTTATCGGGTGTTCAGTTATGAAACGCAAATGAGTGTGGATGTATTAGTGAGTGAGTCAGTTAAAATTTAAAGTCACATCGGCAGTGTTTCTGCCATATCGTGACTAGGAAAGTTGTAAATTTATAAATAAAAAACCCCAAAACTGTGGAGTATTAAGTCCCGTTGCATTTCAACTGTCGGTAACATTAAAGATCAGATAGGTAGCAAAAGTACTGGTCCCTACGGTCCCTAGTATGGTGATCTACCTTTAGTTGTTGGCGACCTACAGGACGGTTTTATGTTGTATTGTCTTCTATAGTTAAGGTATTTTAGATTTAATTACTAGTTTAGAATTTACTTTTAGTTATTATAAATCTATAACATGATTTAGTCACGATGTGGCTGAAATATTGCCGATGTGACATAAAATCTTAACTCCTTCACACACTTAAAGACCAGAGTGGGACTCCCAATACCGACCAGTGAAATGTGAATATTCTCAGTTCAACTTTAAACACAGTGAAATACGTTTGACACCTTTCCTGTCTTCAGTTATGACTGAAACAAAAACGTAAAAAATATGTTTATAAACTTTAAAAAATGATTATGTGACTTTTCAAACCTTTCATTTCCCACACCATGTTTGTGGTGTGAGGCCCGTAGTTTTGCAATTGTCGCAGGTATGTTAGAAATGTCCTTCTCTGGAGAGAATGGTCCTGGAGATAGGTGGGATCCGGATAACCATGGTGACTTGGGCTTTCAGTCCACTGAATAAAATATATCAATATGGTAGTAAAGTGATGGGTTGTCTCTATGAAGAATTAGAGGATAAACACTTACGTCTTGTACAGCATCACTTTAAATGAGTTTGCTGCCGTTGAAAGACAATAAACTCTGAAAAGTTTCGACATGTCATTGACATTGTAAGCGAATCAACAGAGCGAGTGAGTGAGTTTGGTTTTACGACGCTTTTAGCAATATTCCAGCAATATCACGGCGGGGGACACCAGAAATGAGCTTCACACATTGTACCCATGTGGGGAATCGAACCCGGGTCTTCGGCGTGACGAGCCAACGCTTTAACCACTAGGCTACCCCACCGCCCCCATTATTGTAATAACATTGACATGTATATATATTCGATGCAAAGGGGCGACTTATCACTTTATATTCGATTAGGTAACATTATCAACTTTAGATTATGGAAAATAACTAGTTACAATTCAGTAAGCTTTAAGTTAGTACGTTAAATTATGTCTACTCTATTCGAGCTTGGATGTATAATTATTTGTGTTTATACATTATGTTTCAATATATGAAACATGACAACGTAATATTATCTAAAAGTAAATTCAAATTATTCTATTGTGTTTGATTTCTTTGTATGTCCTTGAAATTTCGTATATTGTTTCCTATTTATTAGGAAGTTGAAGAAAATATATTCTTCAGTGACCTCTGAATCAGGCTACCCCACCGCCCCACGAATCAACAGAAAAAGTGATTTCATGGCACACTCTTTGACCATGTGATGTGATGTGGCTTAGATCGGATTTGCACTTGAGATCAGCTGTACCACACCAACGCAAAATAGGCAGCACACAGGTAATCATTTTCGTTTTTCCATTGACAAATTATTCCTTTGTTATATATCTTAAATGTTCAGAAAAAGACGGTTATTTTTTTAACAGCACTTATTCAGATACTGTCCTTAACTCCTTTCCAAGGAATTCATCTGCATTGACCCATCTGAGCTGACAGTCATGGCGGCCAGACTCGTTCAGAGGAGGTTTCCACAAATAATTACGTTGTTAGCAGTTACAACAGACTTGGCTATTTTAACATATATAAAATAACGCTGGCATGGACGTGTTTGGATTATGAGCACTGAACTGCACCGTGAAAAATACAGATACAACAGCTCATACATTCCATCTGTCTCATTCTGATTTTAAGACAGAAATAATGCTCCTTACAATATACTGATTCGCTAGGCATACAAATCATGTACGAATCATATCACATCAAGTCCAAAATCCTTTTTGCATTGAAGATGGCTTTACTTCATACGTACATTTGCAAAGAGATCTTTTCTGAGGTCTCTGTTCACCCAACGCCCAGGAACAGCTCCGATAGATTTCATATTTGGAACAAGGTAGTATTGGGTGAGTCCATTAACGTTGTTCCATCGTTCAACTTCATAATTGACACGTCCACCCTGGGAGAGCCACTCGTTGTAGATTGCGACGGTTGTGTCAGCCAACGCTGCCCCACACAACACGGAGCACAGAAGCAGTAACAACATTCTGCAGTGAAAGTATGATACTTCTTATCACCAGCTTGGGCTTTTAACTGTTTGCTGAAATCTGCATGTGACAGTCACAGGTGTAGCATTCCTCAAGTAATCTTTGAAACATTTTTCAGATAAGAATAGTGAGTGAATGAGTTTATTTGTACGCCGCTTTTAGCAATATTCCAGCAATATCACGGCAGCGGACACCAGAAATGGGCTTCATACATTGTACCATTCGTATGCTTTAATCACAAGGCTACCCCACCGCCCCAAGATAAGAGTCGAGAAGTACAGGTTTCACAGACTCAACACAATGCTCCTCCCAGTTCGTGTTACAATTTCTAAACGTTTAACAATAGACATCACGTTCATTTTATAACAATGTGCTTTTATAAATTATATCAAGAGACAACATATGCAAATATATCAGAAATATGTCCTGTTATGGAGATCTTGCTGTGCCATGACACCGTTGTTCGTACTGTGACTCGTGTTCTATTCCATGCCATGTACATATATCATACATGTCTGAAAGGAAAACTTAATCTACACAAGCAAACTCTCTACCCACTCGGTTACAACAATGCCCTTATGGAGCTTAACCACACAATCCCTTGTAATGTAAGTGAAACCAAAAACAACTCCGCCAAGGTAGGCCTGTTGAGCTTGCTACTTTTAAAACAAAATATTCAATCTGTTTCTAATTTGTGACAAACCTAATAAATGGTGTAAGGAAATATAATTTTATCGTTTGAAAACATATATGTAAGATATTACTATATCAATTCCAGAAAGTATTTTGCGCCAGTAAAGACATGTAACCCTTCTACGTTACACAATAAGAGCATTAAAAGTATTTTTCTGTCATTGTTGAAATGATTTACATTTTTTTAGAAACAGTGTTAATTATTCTTTTAAAAATAGTGATCAACGTTACATGAATATGTTATTACAAATTAGAACAAGATTTCCACTAGATGCCGAGGATGTATACAGAAATAGACAAATTAATAGAATAACTAATTTTCAGTCCTAAAAGTATTTATTTTGTTTAACCAATAAAACCCAAAACAAACAAATAAATTCGAGTCCCACTTGTCTGTTTCCTTTTCTATTCAGCCCATGACGATCCGGGTTAGAATTGGTCTTCAGTAACCAATGCCTTTCGTAAGTGTTGACTTAAAGGATCGGGTGGTCAGGCTCGCTGACTTGGTTGACACATGTCATTGTATCCCAATTGCGTAGATCGATGCTCATGATGTTGAACACTGGATTGTCTGGTCCAGACTTGATTATTTAGATACCGCCGCCATTTAGCTTGAATATTGCTGAGAGCGGCATAAAACTAAACTCACTCACTCCATTTCTATTCTGTCCAAATCCTTAACTTTGCCTACAACGAATAAAAAATCTGACTTTTGTAGTTTTCTAGAGTTTCTGTATTTTCGTTTTCCATATTTCCCCAATCAACAGTTGATGTTTGGTCATTGCGTGCCCTAGGAACATAATTCTAAACGTCTATTGTTTTCTTATTTAGGTTCATTTGGTTTGTCTTTGGAAGACTTTGTTATTTACAGTTTTGGATCCTTTGTCTTAGCAGATTGACCCATCTAGCTGCAGCATGTACGCAACATTTAATATCATGCACAGAAGAGTCCGCATTGTCAGTGGCAGAAATAAGGTCCCGCAATTTATCAATCCCAGTGAAAAATATTTGTGATATCTAAATTGGCTCCTCATTCCTCTAACCTTAAATCGCAAACATCATCTTTGAATGCAAGAGTAGATTGAAAATGACAAACACATGTTCCAGTTTATGGTAGAAACGTGACCCATTAATACGTTGTTCAAGAGAAAATATGTGTGACAATTTGTAACTCAGCATGTGGCAACAGTGCAGAGAAAGGTAAAGGTTTTGCTGCAAGAGATCTTCAAGGTCAAACCCAGGTAATGGATGTGGCAGAAAGTTATTTGAATCTGCTGGTGATTAATGTGTACTATGTACAGAAAGAAGATTGTAGGTGAGATATTATAAGTTGTTCACTGGTCTGGAGGGGGACATGGGTTCATGTACCCTCGATGTTTGTTTATGTTCCTAAAGAACATAAAGAAACATCGAGGGTACATCAACCAATGGGCCCCGAGGGACCAGTGAAGAACGTATTTATCTCACCAAACAACTCAATGGTAATTTTTAACTGTTTGAAGCACAGGAATCAGATCATAGTATGAAGGACAGGACGACAAGAAAAACAAATTTAGAGTGATCTCTCTTCCATTGATTTGCATTCGCAAAACATCGGTAATTTTCGTAGATCATACGTGATTCAATGTTATTTGAGATAAAGAATTACTACTACGAAGTACCAAATGAGTTCGGCTTTCTCAGCGAGGTACATAGAAACTGTTACTCGCTTGTAGGCGGGGTACATTGAATATAATGGATTAGTGCTCAGCCAATCAGAAAACGACATTTATGTGTGAGGCAAGAACAATTGCAATTATGCACATACTGCCATCATTATTAAATGAGACAGACTTCACGCACTTTTCGGGATTCCAGTTATGTGATAGCAGTCGGTAACTCTGTTCAGGATCAAGATAGTTTATTGTATCTGATACATCCAGCCTGTCTATATATATGACACAAAGACTATAGCCACACTCTGAAACTTTGGAATTAGTTGTCATCCGAAATCAACCTCAGCATGTTCAGTTTCGTCTTCTTAAGATACACCTCTGACAAGTGTTTCCCATTTGGAGTTGGGATAATGTTCTTGTGGAGTGCACTCTTTTCTTTAATCTTTAGGTACCCTTGAAGAGCAACCTCCTCGTGGTGGGTGCTGGGTAACGCTATTCGCCCTTCACCCCCGTTGGGACCAGGGATCAAATAGGTCAACGGTGCCCCAATGCTGGTCATACCAGGCGACCGAATTGGGCACCCTGTTTGTCGTGGGTTGCGCCCCTGTGTCGGTGGAGGACGGAAGTCTGGTGGTTGAGGGCACACGAACCAGGACCAGGTGTTCCTGTTGCCCAACACACCACTTTGATTGGTAGAATGGGCCCGATTCTATCAATCGGCTGGTCATGCTAAGCCCTGTGCATGTATATTTTGCTGCACAAAATGTAAAAACTATTTCATTGTTTTGTCAGTTATCTTGGCTTAATGACCATATATTTGCATTTGGATTGTATAAGTCCAATTGAATAATTTGCTTAGAGTCCTATGTCATGGGCCAACCTGGTGGAATGGTTACTTTTTGATTATTCTGCTGCTTGAATACATCACCTGAGTATCCTGGGCGCTGCAGGCTTGAATGCCGCCTGTTTTTAGCATTGTCCTTCTGATATTCCGTGGGGGGTTTGGGAGCTCGGATGACAAATCAATACTGACTCACTATGGAATACCAAACCCCAAGCAAAAAACGACACGTCCACTCGACAATGATGACGACGAACAGCGACCCTCGAAGCCCATTGATCACTTTTTCTGATTCTTGAGACTCTTGAGACTCTTGAGACTCTTGAGAAGACTCACTTGTCCACGGAATAGCAGGAGACATTAAAGGCGTGAAACGCTTGCGTTCAGGATTTCTATTACTTGAATGTAATGCAAAACAGCAAGCAACCAACTTGCTGTCCACAGACATGTTTGTTGGATTTCCGGCTATGGTATCTGCACATAGAACTCTGAACACCATCAGTTAAAGTACTGTAAAATTATTGCCCTCCTAAAATGGTACGTAAGTCCCAAAACATTCAAAGTAAATGTATACCTACTACCATTTTAATCGTAGAATATATGTTCGTTTTATTTCTGGCTAGATTATCTAAAATTGCTAAAAGCTGAAGGGATGGTGTAAATCCAGCTAGGATCCATGCAAATGTACTGTAAGTCCCTAGTATGGTGATCTACCTTCACTTGTCGGCAATAATATAGCCTGTATTTACCTTGTATTGTCATATATAGTTAAACTGTTTTAGATTTAGTTACTAGTTTTAAATTCGAATCTGTGATAATCTAGTTACTTTACTGTCCTTCGTTGACAGATTTTAGCAATTTACCATTACTTACTATGTATAAAATTAATTGTTCTCGTCACGATATGGCTGAAATATTGCCGATGCGACGATACATTTAACTCACTCACTCACTGAACACCATCAGCGGTATCGTAAGAGATCGAAATCGTCTGTTCGCAGATATGATGGAGATTGACATTGTATTAGAAATGAACGATCAGGGAGTGGTAGATGTAAAGATATTCTCAACCCGGAAAAATAATGAGACTGTGCCAACTAACACGTCTCTTTTTTTCTTTTTCTGCGCCGAATCCGCCAAAATCAATCAGGGCAGGTTAGTGCAATGTGTACACCCCCAATCCTCTGTGGTGTTTTAAATGCCAAATGTACGAACATGGTGTGAATACTTGCACATTGTCTGTTACATGTGCACTTTGTGTTGAGAATACACACCCTAAATATAAACAATATATCTTCGAGTAAATAATCGAGTTATATAATGATCTTGCTATTGGCGAATTCCACACCGTCTTCTGTTGGCTGGCCCGTCATGTTGTAATTTCTGGTAACACAAGGGCCGATTTTGCCGATAAAGAAGCACTCGGTAACTTCATATTCCATACCCTGATTATAAAGATATGATTAGATCGTATATACGTTATCTAATGCAAAAGACGTCGGACACCCAAGTAGGTATCAATAAATTCAAACCAAGTATCGGGTACACGTATTTGGGTTGTCTGTCCAGATTTGAAGAGGTCATTTTAAGACGATTTCGTATTGCCCACTGTAGATATACTCATGAATACCTGTTGAAAGTTTAGGATCCTCCGTTTTGCATCCCTTGTGATGAAAGATGTTTCCATCACATGGGATAAATGTTATAGTGTCAAAACAGCAAAGGACCTTTTTAATGTCGTTCATTCTCATGTAATCTTGGGTTTTTGAAAAGAAATAGATCTAATTCATAAATTCTGATATACATAGTTATGATTTTTACAATATTTGGAAGGACATAATTATTAACAGAGATTGAATAAGGGGTTGAAGAACCGTCAAATTATTTTCCTCCTGAGAGGGTACGTAGGTCCCATTTCATCTGAAGTATTTTTATATCTTGATGTTGAGTTGGGTTTTGCGTCACATCGGCATTATTCCAGCCTATTTTTATATCTACCACCGTTTTAATAATAGGATATTTGTTCTTTTAAGGTTAGGCCAAAATTCACTAGAGTCGCTGACACCTGAAGGGATGTTGTAAATGCAGCTTGGGACCATGCAGGTAGCAGAAGCCCTGCAAGTCCTCATGGTCCCTAGTGTGCTGATCTGCCTTCAGTTGTTGGCGATCTACAACCTGTTTTTAGATTATGTATTGTCCAAATAGTGCTATTAGTTTGAACCTTACATGCTTGTTTTAATTCTAACTGTGATAGTCTAGTTCTTTTACTGTCCTTTGGCGACAGGTTTTATAATATACACAAATTCATTATCAATGTCAAATTTGTTCTCGTCATGATATGGCTGAAACATTGCCGATGTGACGCAAGTAATAATTACACCGGATCAGATAATTACAGAGATCACATATAAAAGTTTATTACACAATGATCATGTAAATTGCTTAGAAATATGACATATCACTATGAAACTTTCAACAGCTTGAACACAATGCATGAAATACCTTTATATGGTTTACTTGTAATAAGCTATTACATTACTTCTATCTATGTCTAAGAATTTTGAATTACCAACTCTGTTTAGTAACAAACGTAGAACAAGATTTCAGTGTTGTAATAACACTGACATGTACATATACATGTATTATGTGTCGATGCAAAGGCGCGAGTTATCACTTTATATTTGATTAGGTAACATTATCAACTTTACATTATGGAAAGGAATAGTTACAATCCAGTAAGCTTTAAATTGGTAACTTAATTCATGCATAATCTATTATTTTCGAGCTTGCATGCAGATATTTGTGTTTGCGATTCATTATATAAAATATGACAACGTAATAATACCTAAAAATTAAATTCAAACTATTGAGTTTGAATTATTTTTATGTCCTTGAAGGTTCGTACCTTTTTTCGTATTTTTTAGGTAGTTGAAGAAAATATATTCTCCAGTAACCTCTAAACCTTTACATCTAATTCAATCAATGTGTATAAAAAGTATGTTAGTATCCCAGCAAAAATAACTTGGTTTCCGCAATGCGGAACCTGATGGAAAGTGGACTGAAAGTTAAGTTTCCAACTAGAATCCAGTGAGTTTCCGTTCTTTTACATTCAGTTTCCACAATAACGGAAACTTACAATATATCCACTCCCAATGAAGAGTACCAGACACTTACCTCTGTACAAACATCTCATAATCCCGTGTTCATTTACAAAACGTTGTATAAGCCTATGATAATAATTAGGAATTGCTATCAAAACACTCTAAATTCTTCCTGTGATCCACTAAGGGCAGCATCTCACGTAAGAAATGTTAATCTTTGCTCAGTACTTCTAAATTCATTGAAATAATAGCTACAATAATGACACTCGCTGAATAGGAAGTGCTTCGAATATATGCGGCTCTCACTGTGAAAAACTCTCGATTACCTGCCTCATAAACTCGTCACTCTCTGTGAGCAGCTGATTAATTTGCCCCATATATGCGGCTCTCGGCCTTAATGAGTTAACTCACTCACTCACTCACCCTTTAATCTTTATATGCAACAGATGGCAGTAGTCAGTAAATTGTACCTGGATCATGAGCATTGGTTTTTGTAATGGCAATAAGATGACATATCAACCCGATCAGGATATGCATCCTCCATTCCCTATCACAAATTTTTTGCATATCATGTGGCACCTGGATCAATACAAACAAATTATTTTTCTGGAGAATTTATTCACTGAAGTTTTCCTGCAACGAGTGCAACCGATGTCACGCTGCCACCATTCCCATCAAAGGTCATGCTGACGGTGTTAGTTGTTTTCACCAGCGATGCTGGTACCATGAACTCCCACACGTTCCATGTTGTTGTCCTCTTGTTTGATGTCTTCATAGAATCAAACAGCATGTAGCTTGAAGACAAAGTGCGACCATTGAACACAATTGTCTTAGGTTTTGTAGTAGTATACTTGCCGCGACTGATTCCCACTCTAAGATGGGCCTCGTGGTAGCCAGAGCTCGGTACACCGATAGTTGTCTGAGCATGTCCGTTGTTGATGGGGATTATCATGCCCTTGCCATAATATGTGTTTTGATTATCTGTGTGTAGTCCAGCAAAGTTGAAGTTCGTTTGAAACTTGTAGAAGCAGGTTGATGTTGCAGGAAGACTGACACTGCCATGAAGCTTAGACCTGTCAAAATGGTTATTGGGATGAACAGCTGTCTTACCCTTTTCGAACAGAATACATGTCTGTTCACCTGAAGAAGGGTTGATCCAGTTGTTGGGGAAATCCAGTTTAACATTCTCATCTTTTGTGCCAAAGTTGTGGAGAAGAACTACCAATTCTTTGGTGTGGGGGTTTGCAAGGGCAAGTGGTGAAACTATTCTCTCCTGTCCATCGTGTTGACTAGAGACCCGTAGAAACTTTTGAATATTTATGAAGTTTTTCCAAAACAGGAAGAATTTGGTTGGCTCAAGGGGATGACCATCATCAGTAAATAAGGAATTCCGAAGGGAAGTGTGACCTGCGTATTGCTCGTTTGCGAGGAGATATATTGTAGCTCTGTCCATGAACTCTCTCAGGTTAAGGAAAGAAAACATGAAACCATTTGCTTGATATATTGTCTGAAAATCTGTCATTGCATTCTCAAAACTGGGACTGAGGCCTAGGTTAAGTAAATCTAATCCATATTCAGTGTTAACTAACTGAACGCTTTTTCCTTTCTTGATATGAGAATAATTCTCCACCATGTCAAGAGAAGAAAACAGACGAGCTTCGTTGATGCCAGAGTAGGTGTGACCCGATGCATCATTCAGACGGTTGTAGGAATGGAAAGAGAAAAAGTCCAAGTGATCAAGAGACATGTCCATAAAGTTGGCAGTTCTCTTCCAAGAGCTGAAGTTGTTTTCATCTGTTTGTCGTAATGCCATACTGGTGTACGACGGTCCGGCAACTTTCATTCCAAATCTTGATTTCAGTTTGTCGGCGACAGCCCTGTGGTAATTTATATTCGTTTGTGGATCAATAATATCTTCGTACCAGTCAGGTTCATTGATGACTTCAAATATGTAAGGAAGGCGTCCTCCTGTGTAGTCTTTGCAACTCTGAACCATCAGTGACACCATCTCTGATGCAGCGTCAACATTGTTTGGGAATCCGCCATGATGATGAGACTTATCGATCCAGCCGGGCCAGGCCTGACCTGTAAAAAAGCATTATCTATTGTAGGTGAAATTAAGTGAAAAGTTAGGCTAAGCAAATTCAACGAATGTTACTACTTTAAACGTACATGAGTGTGTGTAGGTTATGTTGTTGACTGTGGGTTACATGATAAATCACGTGTAATATGCTTTCAGGGACGTGAGGATCAACATTGGACTCCTAATACCGACCGATGAATGATGCTGCTGTTAGTTCAACTTTAAACACAGTGTTTGACACCTGTTTGACTTTTGAAAATGATTAAATGACTGGAGAAACCTTTCATTTCCCAGACCATGTTTGCGGTGTGAGGCCCAAAGTTTTCTAATTGGTGCACATATGTTAGAAAGGTCTGTCGCATGAGAGAACGGTCCTGGAGATAGGTGGGGTCCGGATAACCATGGTGATGAGGGTTTTCGGTCCACTGAATGAAAAAATAATATCGCATAGTTCCATGTGAAGAATTAAAAGATAAACAGGTACATTTGTTACGGCGTCCTTTTAAATAAATATGCAGCCTTTGAATGGCAAAAACATACAGCAAAGGAAAATATATTACTGTTTACTGATCGAATGAAAAAAGTGGTTTTCTGCCAGACTCATTCAAAGTGCACAGTTTGTGGCTTTGATCATACTTTGAGGTGAGCTGTACCACAGCAATAGCAGATACGTACCTAACATGTATTCCTTCTTTTCCTCATTAATAATATGTTACTTTTTTATATACTCAGTGCCATTATTGAAGGGTTATGTAGCAATAAGGTAATATAATGCAAAGTGGAGTATGCTGTGACAAGATTATAGAAAGAAAAGACAGTCTGGAGAGTGTTCGGTGCTGTGCTGTGAGGAAAGGATCAGGACTGCATCTTCACGCACATCTAATAAAGGGATACCCACAACACTGAAAGTCGCAACAATAGAGTCCATGACCATGTGGCCGCCTCTCTGGTCCTGGACAGAGTTACACCGATACCTCATGCTTCTCATCAAGTTCATAAAGAATAGCCTCCCATTCTTGCACATGAACTCTCCGAAGACACTCTTGTGGAGCAGGGTGACGTCTGTAAACACGTCTGCCAAGTTCATCCCATGCATGCTCGATTGGATTAAGGTCTGGTGAACATGCCGGCCAGTCCACCCGTTCCACACCCTGTTGCTGAAGATAATCAGTGACTGCAGTTGTGTCTGTGAGGTCTGGCATTATCGTCCTGTAGAAGAGGGTCACGACCATAAAATCCATGCGTAGCTTGCAAAAAGGTAATAGCAATTGGTGTGTGTGTGTGATTTTGTGTGTGTGTGATTTTCTTTTGTGTGATTGTGTGTGTGTGTGAGAGAGAGAGAGAGAGAGAGTGTGTGTGTGTGTGTGTGTGTGTGTGTGTGTGTGTGTGTGTGTGTGTGTGTGTGTGTGTGTGTGTGTGTGTGTGTGACGATTTCATCTCGATACCACTGACCAGTCAAATTTCCATCAATAATATTAAGCTGGGATCTTTCTTCCTGTAGCCATGATACCGGCCCAACCCATGACTGACCCGCCACCAAACCTATTGTGTGTGACAACTGTAGCATCAGTGAACCGTTCACTTCTTCTGCAGAATATTCTCCAATGACCATCATTAATAGACAAATTAAACCGGCGTTCATCTGTAAAGATCACGTTCGACCATTGACGATGATTCCAACGACCGTGACTGATCCAGGCTAAACATGCATGTCTGTGACGTTGCAGAAGTGGTGGACGGACTGCTGGTCGCCTTGAACGGAGCCCACTGAGTGGGCACGTAATCGGCGTCGAATGGTGTTCCTGCTTATCCTGACACCATGAACATTATAATGTTCTGTCTGAAGGTCACTGGAGGTCACGAATCGGTAACGTAAAGCGACGTTTCCCATATATCTGTCTTGCCTTGCACTGGTAACTCTAGGTCGGCCTGGTCTTCTCGCATATTCCATCGATCCCGTGGCTTGAAACCTTTGCAACCAAATGACACTTTGACTCACATTGAAGTGATTTGCAGCTTGTCGTTGACTGTGACCAGCTTGCTTGACCTCTCTCTGCTACCGTCAGGAAACGTCTCATTTCGTATCAGAAACCATGATGTCAGGGTGAGACTACAGTTGACATTTATAGCCTAAATCTGTGCATGGGAAGTCGCACTTTCTCGTGGAATACAGGGCAAAATGCTGCGTTTCCACGATACAGACATTGACAGTATTTTCGGAATTTATCAAAATGATCATGTTTTTGAAACACTCTATAGCTTAAACTTCTCAATAATGAGACATGTGCGTAGTCTAATGTGTTCTATGGTGCCTTCTGTCAACAGGGTTTTAAACAGTATTGACTTCTCATTACTTATATTTCATAATATGAAATTGATTCGTAGCAATGCAAAAAAAAGACACATGACCCTTCAATAATGGCACTGAGTGTATATTGTCATGATATTATTTCTAACGTTAATGTTCTAAAAAAAAGAGCCAGTTATTTTCAATTGAAAATCTCATGTTCAGATATTGTCCTAACCTGCTTCCAAATGAATTGATCTATACTTTTGAGCTGATGGTCATGGCGGCATGACTCGTTCGGACATTTTATAATTTAACAAAACATAAGTTGCATTGTCTAGTATGTATTGTGAGCAATGATCTGCACCATGAAAACATATAGTCTTATACCGTCATACATTCTAATTGTCTCATTTCCATTAAACATATGTACAAATACTGCTCCTGACAATATACAGATTCACTGGACACACAAATCATGCATGAATCATATCACGTTCATAATCGTTTAGCATTGAAGATGGTGTTTACATACGTACATTTGCAAAGAGACCTTTTCTCAGGTCTCTGTTTACTCAACGCCCAGAAACCGCTCCGATAGATTTCATCTTTGGAATCAGGTTCATTTGGGTGAGTGCATTAACGTTGTTCCATCGTTCAACTTCATAATTGACACGTCCACCCTGGGAAAGCCACTCGTTGTAGATTGTGACGGTTGTGTCAGAAAACGCTGACCCCCACAAACCCAGAGTCAAAAGAACCTGAGGAAACATTCCGCTTTGAAGTTATGATATTTCTGATCACGAACGTGGGTTTTAACTGTTTGCTACAATCTGCATGGGAAGGTAGCAGGTGGCATTCCTTAAGTAAACCAATCTAGATATGAATAAACAAAGTATAGGTTTCGTGCTCAACGGAATGTTTCTCTCAGTTTGTTTTGCAATATCTTAACTCTTACCAATGGGAAGCAGGCAGATTTTATGTCAAGTATTTTTCTACCATAATGCATCATTCACAAGGGTTTTTACGATTTTAAATTTTTGTTCATGCTGTCCATAAGCACAGGGTCAAATTTCAAAGTGAGTGAGTTAAAATTTTACATCGGCAATATTACAGCCATATAGCGATGAAAACAAGGTAATCAATTTAAATATCTGTCGACAAAGGACAGTAAAACCAATTATACTATTACAGATTTGTATTTAACACTAGTAATCAAATCTAAAATACTTTAACTATAGAAGACGATGCAATATAAAAAACAGGCTATAGATCGCCAACAACTGAAGGTAGATCACCATACTAGCTATAGGAATCGTGGGGACATACAGTGCATTTGCTACCTGCATGGACCCTAGTTGGATTTACAATATCCCTTCAGCCGCTGGCGATTGTAGGATTTTAGTTGAATTTTAAAAGATCAAAAATACTACGTATAAAAATCTGGTAAGCTTAAATTTAACTTTGAAAGTTTTGGGACTTATCAAATGAAAAAGAGCACATGTACAGAAATGTTTCTCAGAAACAATTGAACTAAGATTGTCATCATAACCAACCCCCCAAAATGAAAATGACAAACATTAAGCACTCGGTCAATCAATATCTTGTCGCGCATCCACGACACAGGTGCACCTTCTTCTCATGCTCCTATGACGTTCATAAAGAAACCTTGTGGAATCGTATGCCATTCCTCGACTGAGTTAATCCCAGGCATGTTCAATTGGGTTGAAGTCTGGCGAGCATGCTGGTCACTCCATCCCCTCTACACTCTGCTGCCTAAGGGATTCCATGACGATCCTGGCCCTATGGGGCCTAGCGTTTTCGTCTTGCAGTAAAGAGGGTCGACCATAAAAGTCATGCATAGCTTGCAGGAATGGTACTGCTATAGGAGCTAGAATCGCGTCCTAATGAAGCTGTTCAGCAAGATTACCGTCGAACACGTGCAGTGGAGTACGTCCTGTAGGAGTTATCCCTGCCCAAACCATGACCGAACCCTCGCTAAATCAGTTATGCGTGGCCGCAGTTGCATCTGGGATTCGCTCTCCATTGCGACAATAAATCATCTGCCGACCATCATGGAAGGACAAATTGAATCAGCTTTCATCTGTGAAGAACACACGAGACCGGCTGTCCTTAAACGTCAACGAACGGTGCTCCTGGATATCCTTACATTCTTAACATTGAAGTGTTCTGTCTGAACATCTGCTGCGTTAAGGAATCTGTTACGTAACGCAGTGTTAATCATGTGCCTATCGTGTTGGACTGTTGTGACTCAGGGTCGACATGCATATTATACGCATATTCCACGGACCCAATGGCTTGAAATCTCTGCCACAGTCTACCAATAGCACTTTGACTCACATTAAAGCGGACGGCAACCTGCCACTGAGTTTGACCAGATTCCAAAAGGCCTATAGACTGACTCCTTTCAGCAGGTGTCAAAACACGTCTCATTTTAAGCTGCGATTTCAAACAGGTACCTGAACAGTGAAAAAGCACCAATGCATGTGTATTGTCCTTCACTTTCCATGGATACACCGACTTGCAAGTGCAAATTATTGACATTACGTGGCAGGTGGATTTCCATATTGACAATTTGAATAAAAACTATGCCATTTGTAACAGTATGTATCGGACGTTAAATAAACGTAATGATGACATTTCAAAGGCCTGATGTGTTTTTCAATACTGATAAGAAAGTTTATAAAACATTCACTTGCATAAACGAAGATTTTACAAATTTTAAGAAATAGTGTTACCAATAGCTTGACCTTTCATTAACTCATTAAGCCTGAGAGCCACCTCACTACTCAGCACCTGGAACCCCTCGCTGATTACCCACTCGCTGTGCCGAGACTAATTAGTGCTAATAACACCTGATTTCCCTGGCAGGTTTCGGCGATGACAGGAAACTGTCTAGTCGTACAAAGAAGTCCTGATTGTTTAATTGTGTCGTAAAGAAATATGTAGAAAGAAAGCAGGTGTGAATACATATCATGTATTACAAAGTTTTATGTAATTTTATTGCAAGTTTCTCTTATAGACTTTTGGCGGCTTGTACATTTATATTTTATCAACATATGCATGTATTCTTTGTATGTAAGAGATGAAACACACATATAAACAAATTCTCTCTCTCATATCATTGTGTGAGGTTTAATTTTACAAAACATCTATGACAATGACATACTGTAGAGAGGATTTACTTACATACTTTATAATCTTCGACGAAAATAGCGTTTTTGCCGAGTGCATACGAATTATTTTAATGAAAGTACTATTACGCTAGTCTGTGACTGACATAAAGCACATTCATAGCTTGGCACTTTTTCCATCTAGATTTAATGCAGAAAACACACGTGACCATACAAACATACATATCAAAGACTACATATTCCTTGCATAGACATAAAACAAAGAGCCACGTGATAGGGCGTCATCAAATTTCCCGAATAGAACGTTCGGTATCTCAACTGTTCAATATAGTGGCTGGGCATATGTTATCTGTGACCAATCGTATCATGAGATACCTGTCACAGAGGAAAGGACAGGTGATGGGGCGTGGGCGAATTTCTGAAGAGCATGTTTGGTCACTCAACAGCTTGGATAGAGATTGATTATTGGCTATATCGTTGACCAGTCGATATGCTGGGTTTCGGCTTTATCAACTCAAGCTATCATGTAACAGTTTGTGTATTGTAAACATACACACTGGTAACGATGTTTGAAATATACACATAAGACAAATAGGAGTAGATAGACACTTTGGCGAGTTTAATTGTCCTCATTTTAATGTTTTTCGATAAGTAAAACAAAGCGATTGAAATCCAAGCATTGAGTATAGATAGTATATATTTTCATAAAAAATTTACGCACACAACTAGTACATAAAACATAATGATTTGCTGAACATGTAAATATAATCTTCACCTTGATACGAATGTACAAACTAAAGTACACGTATTACAGAATTCACGAAATGACACTATACTGAATTATTATAGTGTGTAAACTTGAAGTTGACCCCCCCCCCCCCACAATATTTATGAAGGTGCCGATATTTATGCTGAATGCAAACGAGGTTCATAAGATTACAGATGTGCATGCATGCATAAACATTACAGAGAGGGGAATGACTCCATAAAGCAGGTTGTCCAATGATATAACATCGCATCTGTTTATTTTACACTTGTCACTGGACAAACATTTCAACAAGGACGTAACTACATATGCATTCTACCGGAGGCTGTTATTTCAAGGCCGAAAGAGGTGTTCAATTATCTCATTACTGTAATCTGCTTGAATGATTATACGCATGTGTATCGAGACCGTAACTGATATACTATCCAGCTTTTATTGACGATGGATCAAAAGAGACTGAGTTCATTGATACACGTGATAATTACACCGGATTTGATAATTACAGAGATCAAATACAAATGTTTTACACAGTGCTCATGTAAATTGCATAGAAAACTGACAATTCAAATCAGCATGAAACTTTCAACAGCTTGAACAAAAATGCTTGAAATACCTTTGTATGGTTTACATGTAATAACTTATGATATTACTTCTGTCTATGTGTGAGAATTTTTTGAATTACTAACTTACTGTGTTTTATAACACACGTAGTAAAAGATTTCATTATTGTACTGACTGACTGAGTTTGGTTTTACGCCGCTTTTAGCAATATTCCAGCAACATCACGGCGGGGGACACCAGAAATGGGCTTCACACATTGTACCCATGTGGGGATTCGAACCCGGGTCTTCGGCGTGACGAGCCAACGCTTTAACCACTAGGCTACCCCACCGCCCCCATTATTGTAATAACATTGACATGTATATATATTCGATGCAAAGGGGCGACTTATCACTTTATATTCGATTAGGTAACATTATCAACTTTAGATTATGGAAAATAACTAGTTACAATTCAGTAAGCTTTAAGTTAGTACGTTAAATTATGTCTACTCTATTCGAGCTTGGATGTATAATTATTTGTGTTTATACATTATGTTTCAATATATGAAACATGACAACGTAATATTATCTAAAAGTAAATTCAAATTATTCTATTGTGTTTGATTTCTTTGTATGTCCTTGAAATTTCGTATATTGTTTCCTATTTATTAGGAAGTTGAAGAAAATATATTCTTCAGTGACCTCTGAATCATTACATCTAATTCAATCAATGTGCATAAGAAGTATTTTAGTATCCATTCCCAATGAAGAGTACCAGACATTTACCTCTGTAAAAACATCATAATCCCCCTTTCTCGCCGACATGTGTTCACTAGCCAAGCGCTGTACAAGACTATGATAATGATTAGCAATTGCTATCAAAACAATTTAAATACTTCTTCTGGTTGACACTAAAGGTAGGATATCTCGTAAGAAAAGCTAATATTTGCTCAGTAGTACTAAATTGGTTGAAATAATAGGTACAGTACGATTTTTAAAAGTGCGTCTCTCGCTGAATACTTTCTGTTGACGGATATGTGTGGCTCTCGCTGTAAGAAACTGCCAATTACCTGCCCAATAAACACGTCACTCGCTGTGAGGAGCTGATTAATTTGCCCCATATACATGTACGTGTCTCTCGGCCTTAATGACTTAATGATATATAGTATATTATTCTGTTTAGCGTGGTCTAATTCTGACGACTGTATTAACAGAATCAATCAATGAATTAATTTTTATGTATCTTTTGGCAATATTCCATCAAGATCAAAGATATTATTCTGACACTTACTACCAGTCTGGAGTTTGACTCCGCACTAGGGATGTGCAATATTACCAGTAAACCGATATATACCGGTACAGTATCTCGCGATATGATTATCACGATATGGTTCAGATTCTGCAATGTATTGGTTCATCCAGAGTTAGCTCACTTTGAATTATCTACCCTTGATTTCCATAGCAACAACACCAAACTACAACCCAGATCAGTTTCATTGTCTTCATTGCTTAGTGGAAGTATGCACAAATTATTTACAATAACAGTATTGCTTGTTCGTAGTCGATTCAAGCGTGGAACAAGGCTGCCCTACTAAAACCATGATCAAAGAAATTTCAAATCTCAAGGATTTGCTAATGCACAGCAGGCAATTTTCATGATTTGTACGAATAAAATTTGAAATTGCATTGACACGTATATGAGGGATGCTGTACATTTTAGAGATATAAGCCAGACTGAAAGTTGTTCTGATATCGTTTAACTCAGTTAAAGGCTTTCTCAGCATGCGGATTCTGTCACGTCACGTCACTCTCAGCGCTTCAAACTTTTGTAACCCACTATAACTAAAAGTCAATTAATGTGACATTATGACTAACAAAAACACATTCTCATAACAAAGATAAAAAACTTTTGTCGTTTCCTAACTATGTACAGCGCGATCCAGTGACATTTACAAGGCATAAAAAATAACCAGTTAAAACAGAATATTTAAATGACACTGTTAGCACTGATTGTATTTAGAGTTGACGTATACTTGGTCAGTAAGGAATATGAACTTCAAGGAGAGTCTAACGGGATCTACTAAACTTTGACAGTAACGCTAGATTCAGTCAGATGGTCAGCAGCTGTAAATTAACTTGGTGTAAACAAATTCCTCACTTGAAGTAAGGTTGCAAATATTTAGAAAATTAACAGGTATGAAAATTGCCATTATACATTTTTCACGTAATTTTTCATGAGATATACAATTTCTGCTGGGAAAACCTACAATTCCGCATCATTAATTAGCTCATTAATATGCACAAATTACGCCATTAATCAATGAGGTTCATAAAGGTTAGGACAGTGGTCATCAGTAGAATCGATAGATGTCAATACAGGAAACGAGGCTCACAAGGCATCGATGTACAACTCCTTCATCGATGTACATGTCATACATTTAGTTTCAAGACATTTTGTAATTATATTGTATTACATGTATGTAAAAATATGTCAGGATAACACACACTGTTTATTTAAGTTCCCACAAGTGCCAATAATCGCTGTCTTATCAAAAATTCCCCAAAGAATCAGAGTTGTGATTCACTTGCAAAATGCCACAGAGGGTGACCTTAAGAAGGAAAAGTTGTGTATAGGGATACAAAAGTATCTCACCTATATATTCTGGCTCTAAAACGTATTGAGTCTCCTTAGACTTCCAAAGGTCAGCTAAATGCCTTTATACTTGTTTAGAGAATTGATTGATTGAACAGAATTTAACTTTCTGGTTTCGTGAAAGAGATGTTCAAGGTCAAAAATAGGGAATGGAGGTGACAGAAATTTATTTACATCTAATGGCAATTACTGCATACTATGTGTAGCGCTGTCCAGCAGGTGAGACACGATGTGATTATGTCTTTGCCTCCAACTGAATGACACGGCCTTTCATTTTAGGTTAAACATTCGTATTATGTCAGTTAATTTTCTTAGCTTGAAAGTGCACTTTTCAGGATATCCAGTTATGACATAACAGTCGGTCAATTCTGTCGAAATCTATATGGTAGATTGTATCTAAGGCATCTGGTCTGTGTTATATTACTACATTGACAGACTATGGACAATGCAGTTAGTAAAAAGCATGATAATATTGTGCAATTAGTAACTTAGTAATAATCTCATGTCAGTAAGAGGCTCGCTGACGAGGTTAACCCATGACGTCATATCCCAATTGCGTCGGTCGATGTTTATGATGCTAATCACTGCATTGTCTGGTCCAGATTCAATTGTTTACAGACTACCATCATGTAGGCGGAACACTGCTGAGTGCGGCTTTAAACAACAAACAAACGAAGAAAGAATCGTTTCATGCTAGTGGATGTGCTGGACATTTTTGAGTGTTGAATATATAGAGGATATTAAATGAGTGCCATGTCATACTATGTTTACGACACGAGTGCCTAAATGTTGGTATTTCCCGAGTGAGAGTGAGGGATATACTGATATTTAGGCACGAGCGTCGTAAACAAAGAATGATACGGGCACAAATATGATATTCTATTTATTACCGAAGTCGTCAAATTGAGAAAAATAAACCCAAATCTGCTTTCAAACACAGGCTGGCAACCCGCCGTCGCTGCTTGTAGAACGCAACGTCATAGAAGAAACGTGACGTCAAAGCTTTGTTCATGACGTCACGTCACCATGACAAAGTGATATTTTGCCCTAGGACATAGTATGAACAATATGAACCCCGATATTTTCGCCCTCGTAGGTAATAAATATCGTTATGTGCATCACATATACATTACAGATGACAGCAGTCGGCATATCGTATCTGGAGCATGAGCATCGGTCTGTGTATTCACAATACGATGACACATCAACCAAGTCAGCGACGGACATCCCATTAATTACGGCAATCATGGCTTTTAAAAACGTGGTTCGTGGGAAAACCTAAATCGTTTACGCATCCAACCCTTTGCTCCGGTACTTCAAATGCATGTGCTACTATTCTCAGTTTGGTACAAGACATGCATGTCTACAAATGGCAAGAAACATAACTTCTCTGTTTTTGACAAGCGTCACCTAACACCGTGAGCAGCCTCCTACAAACTGGGATCACAACTATAAAAGCAAGCTTATTCTGAAGAGGAGAGGAACCTGATTTTTGTCTTTGCAGTCAAGGAAGTGTGCGATGTTGTGCATGTTGTGCACGTGTAGCTGTTCCCATTGACAAGGGCCTCAAAGAAGATAAATGTTTTACGATTGTATCACTTCATTAATTTATTTAAGGAAAAAGACTTGTGACATACAGTATTTAGAGTCACCAACGACCACATTTAGTTTCTAGGTTCCAAGTGAAACACATGTACGACAGTTCAATGCCACTGTCCATACCTACAACTACAGGTATATTACTACATTACATACAGTTTCATAATTTAAAGATAGGTACATGTGGCGGTGTTTTCGCGAAACCAATCACGTTAACTGAACATGTCATGCATGTCAACGATTAATAAAGTGTCGTTCATTTACAAACTTCTCGTTAAATGGGTCTTGTCCGAGCCATATTCTGCACAGGCGACAGGATTATGAGTATGGCTGAATACGTTACGATTTGTCACATCGGCATTATTTCAGCCATAATGTGAAAAAAGTATGAGTATGGAGTTAAACAGAAAGCAGTATTGCACCGATTATATTCTGTATATCGTATCATAATGAAAGTGATCATGTTTGGCTTGATAAAGGTGTCAAAATGTGCTTCAAATCATCACTCTGTGCAATGTACGAAAAGTTATTGTCAATAAATAGTTACGTTTTGTGTCTCAGAAACATTACTGCATCCTCTAGGATCTGTAATCATTTACAACTAGTCACCTTTCCGATTCATTCCACTCGAATCAAAACAGAGTATTCCTCAAGAGACTGTATTCACTGAAGGATGTCACATTGCCACCATACAGTATGACAATACGACACATCAACCAAGTCAGGATCTGTATCCCCTATCACCAATTTGCTGCATATCATGTGGGAATCAACACAAGCAAAGTGTTTTTCAAGAACATTTATTCACTGAAGTTTTCCTGCAACGAGAGCAACGGATGTCACGCTGCCACCGTCCCCATCAAATGTCATGCTGACGGTGTTGGTTGTTTTCACCAGTGATTCAGGGACCACGAACTCCCATACGTTCCAGTTTGTTTTCCTTTTGCTTTGAGTTTTCATAGCATCAAATAACATGTAGCTAGAAGACAAAGTGTGACCATTAAACACAACTGTCTTAGGTTTTGTAGTATGAGTCCTGCCTCGACTAATTCCCACTCTAAGATGAGCCTCATGGTAGCCAGAGCTCGGTACACCGATAGTTGTCTGTGCACGTCCGTTGCTGATGGGGATGAGCATGTTCTTGCCATAGTATGTATTCTGATTATCTGAGTGTATTTTGCTAAAGATGTAGTTGGTTTTAAACTTGTAGAAGCAGGTTGATGTTGCAGGAAGTGCGACACTGCCATGAAGCTTAGACCTGTCAAAATGGCTATCGCTATGAACGGCTGTCTTACCCTTTTCGAACAGGATACATGTCTGCTCACCTGAAGAAGGATTGATCCAGTTGTTGGGGAAGTCCAGTTTTACATTCTCTGATTTATTGCCAAAATTGTGGAGGAGAACTACCATCTCTTTGGTGTGGGGGTTTGCAAGGGCAAGTGGTGAAACTGTTCTCTCCTGTCCATTGTGTTGACTAGATACCCGGAGAAACTTTTGAATATTGATAAAGTTTTTCCAAAACAGGAAGAATTTGGTTGGCTCAAGGGGATGACCATCAGTGGTAAATAGGGAATTCCGAAGGGAAGTATGACCTGGGTATAGTTCATTTGAAAGAAGAAACACGGTAGCTCTGTCCATAAACTCTCTCAGGTTAAGGAAAGAAAACATGAAACCGTTTGCTTGATATATTGTCTGAAAGTCTGACATGGCATTCTCAAAATTGGCCCCAAGGCCTAGGTTATTTAAACCTAGTCCATACTCAGTGTTAACTAACTGAACACCTTTTCCTATCTTGATATGAGAATAATTCTCCACCATGTCAAGAGAAGCAAATAAACGATCTTCGTTAATGCCAGAGTAGGAGTGACCTGCTGCATCATTCATATGGTTGTAGGAATGGAAAGAGAAAAAGTCCAAGTGATCAAGAGACATGTCCATAAACTTAGCAGTTCTCTTCCAGTAGCTAAAGTTATTTAAATCTGCTTGTCGTAATGCCATACTGGTGTATGATGGTCCGGCAACTTTCATTCCAAATCTTGATTTCAGTTTGTCGGCGACGGCCCTGTGGTAATCTATATTGAGTTGTGGGTCAATATACTGTTCGTCCACGTCAGGTTCATTGATGACTTCAAATATGTAAGGAAGGCGTCCTCCTGTGTAGTCCTTGCAGCTCTGGACCATCAGCGACACCATCTCTGATGCAGCGTTGACGTTGTTTGGGAATACATCTTTATGCTGAGACTTATATATCCAGCCGGGCCAGGCGAGACCTATAAGGAAGCAACATATGTTGTAAGTAAAAACATAAGTAGAGCATATTCATTGGGTGTTCAACTACTTTAAACGTTAATGCGTGTGCATAGGTTAAGTGGTAATCTGCTTCCAGGGACGTGAAGATCAACATGTGACTCGACTAATGTAAGGTGAAACCTGTAAGTTCAAGTTTAAGCACAGTGAAATGGGTTTGTCCCGTGTTCTCCCTATAGTTATCTTTCAAAAAAAAATGTAAAAAAGCTTTTTTCATAAACGTCTTTAAAAGGATTTAATGACTTGAGAAACCTTTCATTCCCCAGACCATGTTGGTGGTGTGAGGCCCAAAGTATTGCAATTGTTGCACATATGTTAGAAATGTCCTTCGCTGGAAAGTATGGTCCTGGAGATAGGTGGTGTCTGGATAACCATGGTGACTTGGGTTTTCAGTCCACTGAATAAAAGGAATGAATATAGTACTAAATTTAGAGTTAGAAGTGAAACAATTACATGTACGTTTGGTACAGCGTCCCTTCAAATGAATTAAAATGACAATAAGCTCAGAAAAGCATTTCAAATGTAAATGGTATTGTAATAGAATCTATAGAAAAAGCGGTTTCTTGATTTCTCTTTGATCATGATGCACCATGGATTTTCACTTGGGATCAGCTGTACCACAGCAACACAAAATATGCAGGACACAGGTAATCATTCTTTAAGCTTTCCCATTGACAAAGTAAAGGGATGAGGAGCAATACGACCTAAGTCCCTTTTGTAGGGTATCAGGAGAGACGAAAAACCTGTATCTTGAAAACTACTGGGAAACCGTGTTTGTTTTCTTGGTTAGACTTGCATGATGGGATAAATGTATTGTGCTTTACTTTAATTTTGTTTCATAAATATTCAGAATTATGAAGGCAAAACTGATTCTTGAATTTCCGTTTTCTGGCAGAATGACCTAAGTCACTAAAATTGAGACGCAAAACAACCTAAGTCATTATGCATAAAATCATTTCGAGAAATTAAGAGAAAGATACAAAACAAGATGCATGTACCCATTGCACATGCTGAACCTTTGAGAGGAATATTGCGTTTTAAAACGATGTATTTTGTTCTGAAAATCATCTAAACCTTAGAGGATACTAGTAACGCTTTTCCATCGGTTTAGAGACTGCAGTGCACCCATCAGCCATCATAATGAGTGATAGATTTATTCAAACATAAAACATTCTGAACATCACACTGTAATATACAATTCATTCCTATGGATTACAATATCTGCAACATTTTTGTTCAATCAAAGCATTTCAAGAATAGCCCCTGTCTTCTCTACTGTTCTTGTCAGCAAGCAATACGTCTGTTATCCTCTCGTCTGATCCTTGTACGAGCCTTTCCAATCGGCATACCGTCCTAAACACAGTACGGAGACAGCCCTATTGAAAGTCCTCAACGACCTTAGATGTGGTATTGACAGTGGTAATGTTGGCCTCCTGGTACTGTTAGATTTTTGGGCGGCCTTTGATACCATAGACCAACAGATGCCACTCAGGTGCCTCAAGGATGACGTCTTTCTCAATGGTAGTGTATGGTCCTTGTTTGGAATAATATTACATGTTGACTAAAGGCTAGATTGCACCTGAATTATTCTGCTATGGTTAGTTTTGTTTGTGTGTCAGTATAAAGAGCTTGTCATTTTTATCATGTAGATTGGTATTATGGAATACCATGCAGACAGTCTTATTATGTTGTAACTGTTTTGGTTTTTGAGACTAATAGTGTATATTTAGTGTGGTCATGACTACAATTTGTTTGGTTTTCCCTGATGTAATCCTAATATTTTGCAGAATTGTTTCTAGTCAGGAAATGTGCAGCAGTATTTTGCATTTTGTGTACTAGTTTGGAATAATATCTTTATTTGACCAGTAGTTAAGTTCTCTGACTGTAGATACATGGTAGTAGTGGCTTAAGTCGTTGACATTTGATACAATAGATGCTCCCTGGCTGTAAAAAGTTTACTGCGAGCGAGCGCATGAGTGACCCGCGATGGTCAAAAAGGAGTTTGTTTAGAGCAAGTATATATTGAATGTTGAAGTTTCAGAGATGGTCGAGATGCACTCTTCAGGTACAAATGTCACTCTTATAATATACCCATGTTTGTGGCGGTGTATTATACTATTTTCAGAGTATTTTTGCAATTCAAGGAATGTTCAATTATTTGGTCACGTGCAAAACTGTATCCTATTTTCGTGGTAATGGTGCGCTCTGATACATTGTGTTTTGTAACTATATGGCAGATTTCTGTTAAGATGTCAGGATTATAGAGTCAGTTTGTAGTTTTAGAATCAATATTAAGTCAACATGCTCAGTGGTAATTCATGGAATTTACTATCTGTAGTTTTGCTAGACTGTTTCAAAGTTTCGTGAAACTTGGGAGCAGTCATTTCATGACAGTGTCATGTATTGTGAACTTATTGCTGTAGTTTCATTATAATGGGATATTCATAAATGTTGTTTCATGGTAATAAGTGCTAAATACAAGTTGCTACATTGTATCATTCTGTTATTTCAGAACCAGGAAGTAAACATCCTTGTTAGAGGAATATCTCGACCAGTGTTTTATGGTTCTTTCTATATGATTCCTACCAGTCCTTGTTCGAAAAATATCTGCGGAATTGGTAACAATAGGTATATATCGATGGTGTCTATTCAGCTCCCTTGAATCTATCACGTGGTGTGCCACAGGGGTTGGTTTTGGGTCCAGTTCTATTCACGCTGTACACCAAGGCACTTAGCTCAATCATTCAGGTACATGAGATCAACAAGCACATATATGCAGATGACACTCACTCTTCAAGCCTAATCAGTCTGAAGTCCGGGCTCACTACCTTGGTAACTGGAGGTACCAGTGCCAGAGAGTGTCAAAGACGCGGACCTCTCAATGGATAGTCAGATCAGTCGAATAACCAAGACGTGTTCTCTACAGTTGAGGAACACCAGCAACATCCGGAAATATTTTACTATTGTAAGTCTCCTTGTTGTACTCTGGCGTGTACAGAACATGGCCGACACTCTGAGTCTTTTAGACGTGGTCTCAAGACTTACCTCTTTACCATCATTTCTGCTTTGTTCGGGACAGTGACGTTAACATTGCAGAACATGTCCATCTGACTTTACTGAGGGTAGAACTGGAACACACTGGAACTGAATGTCTGTCAGTCTCCAAATTCAACACAGTCAAACTGAAGCAAACTACATTACAGTCTACATTAAATTGAAGAGTAGCTTTACTGTCATTACAGTAATCAGTATCATGAGATGAATGAGAAACGAGCTCATCGGGGTAAATTGGATCAGGAAAATGGGAGATACAGATTCCATTATTTAGCCCAAAACGTAATGTTCTCTGTGAACCCTATTCTGCATATATATTAATTAACACTATGTGCGTCCTTTGTGTGATGACTACGATTAAATGTTACTATAAAATACGTTTATAAGATAATTTTACTACTGACTGAATGTGTTTTTTTATACATATTTTATGTATGTTACAAATGAATTTGTGCCTGAAACCACATTTGAGTGTGTTTATGTACATATATTGTCATTTTCACACAAAATCACTATTATAGTATGATGTGACACTTATATTTGAAAGAACTGGTCAATGCTTACTAGTTTTAATCAAACCATTGTTTCAGTTTTCTCAGAGCTTCCTTCCAGCGTGACATGTGCTCTCCAGACCTAATTTCACCTCCTTACGAAGGGTTTTGAGGCAAAAAGACCTAAGTCAGGCCCGTCCAGAGGCAGAACAACCTATATCTGACTTAGGACTATTTTTGCATAAATCATGCATGTTCAACACGCCGTAATTCTGCGAAATATTAATGTATCACAGTGTAATTTCACCACAATACAGGTCTCAACATGACAATTCGTGGGGTATTATTATGTCAAGTCTGACTTCAAGTATTCTTCTGTTGTACACCTTAAACGACAAGTATTTCTCCATTGAAAAGCGCATATTCAGATACTGTGGTTAACTGCTCTACGATGACTTCATGTGTACTGACACATCTGAGCTGGCGGCCATACCTGTTCAGGCTAGGTTTTGTAATTAATGACGTTGTTGACAGTTAGACAGAAATTGTTATCTCAAACAACTCCACCACAGACTATCTGATTACCTGAGATTGTGTTCCACAGAAGGCCTAAGAAAAGACATGACCAGAGGACCACGACTGTGTGACTACCTCCATGATGTAGTGGTTAGAGCATCCGCCCGGAGAGTGGAAGGTCGCCGGTTCGATCCCCGGTCGCGTCATGCCAAAAGACGTTAAAATATGGTACTTATTGGTCCCTTTCTGGCGCTCGGCATTACTGGGTACAACAAGGACTGGTCAGCTCGGAGTCAGTATAATGTGTCTGAGTTAGGTATGCACGCTTATCTCAGTGGGCTAGTTTTATAAAACCAGCTTAAGTCTGGGCTAGTACAAGCAGCCACATAAATACATGCATGCACGTCATATGAGCGAAATATTCTTAAGTACTATCTTAAACCCCATTTCACCTCACCTAACCACGAGCCGCCGTCAACATGGTGATGATATTGAATGATAATTGAAGAGATGGGCAGACTAATCACATAGCACAAACAAACTTACTATTGCTTTAAACTTTTTGATCAGATGTGCAAGGCTTCAAAGTCAGGATTAAAAGAACATTAAGGTTCCCCAGACGGTATTGTTTGAACAAACAAAAGTTTTGAAAAGGTATTATTAAACTAGATTACAAACAGGTTATCATATAGCTATTTATTTAAAGCTGAACTTCAACACTGGACTGTTTCTGTAATATCAAAAACTGGCATAGACTAGAACGAACCATAAGCAATGAACTACACCGTGACAAAAACACCCTAGATACTTAAGCTTATACACTCCAACTGTCTCATTCCGATTTTGAGGTAAAAATACTGCTCCTTACAATATTCTGATTTGGTAGGTATACATAGCATGCACAAAACCATATCACTTCCAAAATCTGTTTTGCTTTGAAGACGGTTATATTTAATACCTACATTTGCAAAGAGACCATTTCTCCGATCAGTGTTTACCCACCGCCCTGGAACCGCTCCGATAGATTTCATCTTTTGAGCAAGGTAGGATTCTATGAGTCCATTGACGTTGTTCCATCGTTCAACTTCATAATCGACACGTCCACTCTGGGCAAGCCACTCGTTGTAGATTGTGACTGTTGTGTCAGAGAATGCCGATCCCCACAACAACAAGGTGCACAGAACCGGTAGAAACATTCTGCTGTGAAATGATATTTCTGATCACCAGCTTGGGCTTTTAACTGTTTGTTGCAATCTGCATGTGAAAGTAGCAAGTGGCATTCCTTAAGTAAACAAATTCAGATAAGAGTACACAAAGTATAGGTTTCATGTTCAACAGAATGTTCCTCTCAGTTCGTTTTGAAATATTTGAACTTAAACCAATGGGCAGCAAGGAAATTTTATGTCAAGGTTTTTGACCAAATTGCGTCAACAGCAATGGTATTAACTGTATTAACTGAATATTCCATCAATATCACGGATATTATGCTAAAGTGTTGTGCAAACATGTTTTATATATATATTTTCACTACGCGCACTGACTCAGCATTCATTTGATGAAGGAGCAAGAATTAGCTCTTAAACGTCGTATAAAGAATAAAATGAGGGTGTTATCCATAAAACGTGTCACGTATTAATATCACATAGGGGGCACCAGAAATGGGTTTCGCACATCGTACCGATTATCTGTTAAGTTACTGCAAGCACCGTGGTATTAAAGTTTAAACATTCATTTTATAGTGGACAAGTGAGTTATGGTTGCTAAACTCTAAACTGGAGATATTTCGCGTAAATATGAAAATGATCTAATCCTTACCTCCATCTCTAGAGGAACAAATGGGTTTTGCACAGAAAAGTATGAAGGTAAATGAACAGATGGCGTGTTAACAAGGACCCCCATTTGCACCGGATTTCCCAGACACTAACACTAAGCATACAGTGGCGTTTTACTCCAGCACATTTGACATGAATTGCTGTATTTATCTACCAACTCAAGGCCTGACTGTTTCAGCCCATGACATGTTATGTAGACAAACATTATTCGGAGGTCAGCATCACACAACTGGCCCATAAGCCACCGCCAACTTCAGAGCTTCTGAACTATTGACTGAACATTGGTCGTTGTTGGTTCACTTCATACTCATCTGTATATAAAATATTTAAAAGAAACCGAGAGCATCCTAATGCCTGATATTACTGCAGTTCATCTATCATAAGAGCCCCCCGTAAAGATCCGGGTTAGAATTGATCTTCAGTAACCCGAAGGAGCGAATAACGGGATCGGGTGGTCAGGCTCGCTGACTTGGTTGACAAATGTCATCGTATCTTGATATACATGCTATTGCTCACTGGATTGTCTGGCCCAGACCGCCGCCATATAGCGAAAAACTGAACTCACTCACTCACTCATTACGTAAAAGCCACAAGAAGATATCATGTTCAAATATACAGCGTATGCCGTTTCCTCAGTATCCTAAGTTTTGGAAGGCACGTCGAGGCAGTATTTCTCATTAAGGGGTCCGGCACCCGTGAAGAGCCACCTCTTCGTGGTGGGTGCTGGGTAATGCTAAGTGCTCTTCAAACCCCCGTTGTGGACCCGGGGGTATATTTGGTCCATCAACCCGTTTGCCGTGGGTTGCGCCCTTTGTCGGTGGAGGACGGGAGGCTGGTGGTTGAGGGCACTGGGAGCCTGGAACCGTGTTCCTTTTGCCCAACACACCACTTCGGCCCTTACTTCACCTAGACGGGAGGTAGAACTGGCCCGCTTCTATCAATCGGCTGGTCACGCCAAGCCCTGTGCATAGTGACTATATTATTTGCACATTTACTTAGTTTTGGGCTTTGGTTGTTTTTTATCCTGAATGTACAAATTATTATTATATTAAATTGCCTAGAGTTCTATGCCAGAAGGCGGTGGCTCATGGGCCAATCTGGTGATAATGACCTCCAAATGATGTATGTATCCAATTTATTGTTATTCGCCGAACCAGTCTGACATTAAATTGGTAGATAAATGCAGCTAGTTGTGTCGTTTTCGCTGGAGTATATCACCCCTGTATCCCTGGTGTCGGCATCTTGGATATCCGGTGCCACTGTCCTTGTTGACATTCCATGGTGGGTGGGGAGCAGGGGTGTTGAATCATTTTCCTTTCAACATGTTACCCCAATCCAGCTGGTTCATCTCGCTATGAAGAAAGAGACGTTTGGACGAACTTGTTTGTCCAACTGAATCAAATTTTTCAAACGTTGATTCCTGGCCTAGATTTCTAGTGATCGAAGCTCCCGACTACTTACCCATTAAACTAAACCCATTTGCTATTTCCAAAGCTATCCATGGGATATGTGCACTGGACTCTCAATTCCTGCTGTGGCATTATCCGAGACAGGGATCGTTGTCTCTCTGACATGTCAGAGGAGGACATAGCTACAGAGTTTGATGATCAGGCCGTTACGGCGGTGAAACGTTTTACATTCAAGAAAGATGGCAAAATCACCAATACCAATACTTACTTACTGACTTTTGCTAGATCGTCCCTTCCGCAGTCGATCAAAGCTGGTTATCTCAACATCGGGGTGGATGTGTATGTCCCCAATCCACTCCGTTGTTATAAATGTCAACATTTCGGTCATTGTTCTCACTCCTGTTGAAATCCTGTTACGTGCCATCGTTGTGGTGATCACCATGAAAGTACAGAGTGTACAAATGACTACAAATGTGCAAATTGTGACGGCCAACACCCAGCTTGTCCCTATTCCAAAGCCTGGCAGGGATCATACTGATCCGTTAAATTACAGACCAATCTCTTTAACGACTTGTGTCTGTAAAACCATGGAACGAATGGTAAACAATAGATTAACCTGGTATCTTGAAACCAACAACATTATAACAAATATTATATGTGGTCTCAGGAAAAGTCGTAGTACCATTGATCATTTGGTACGTTTAGAATCCTTTGTCAATAATACAATAGTAAATAAACAACATGCAGTATCGATATTCTTTGATCTCGGCTCTAACCCTGCATTCAACTGTCTTTTCAACCCTCTTTATGAGGATCTGTACAACAAAAAGTCTTCTCTTGTTCCGCTTCTGGGACTAAGAGTCAAACCTTTCCTTTTTGCTGCTGGTATTGAGCTAGTAAATATAGCTCCTTCCCGTCTTCTTTCTTCTCCTCCTTGGCATGGTTAGGCCGCAAGTGGACCTAACACTGACAAAGTTTAAACAATCAGAAACTAATGAATTACACTATAAACAAGAATATAATCAAATAAAAAGTTAATATATTACATATAAATCCTTATTTTCAGATGGGTCCAAGGATGGTGACGATATCATGCCACACAAGATAAACTCATGAATACCTATTGAAAGGTGAGGATCCTCCGTTTTGCGTCCCTTGTGATGAAAGAATCACGGTCAAGCATGTCTTGCTTGACTGTGTAGAATATTCCATCACAAGGGATAACTATTTTAAATCACGAACTATGAAGGATCTTTTTAATAGTATCAGTCCTCATTTAATTATTGCATTTTTACAAGAATTAGATTTGTTAAATGATTTGTAAATACATAAACACTTTATGATTGGAAGTTTGAATTTATAACTAAGATTGTTAGTGGCTGTATCCTCGACGGGGGTTAAAGTACTGTAAATTTATTGTCCTCCTGAGAGGGTACGTAAGTCCCAAAACATTCGAAGTAAATTCGAAGTAAAACATTCCATTTTTTTAAACGTAGAATACCTGTTCTATTAAAGTATGGCTAGATTTGCTAAATTGCTAACGGCTGAATGGATGGTGTTAGTCCAGTTAGAAGCAAATGTACTGTAAGTTCCGATGGTCCCTAGTATGGTGATCTACCTTCAGTTGTTGGCAATCTAAAGCCGGTTTTCATATTGTATTGTCATTTATAAGTACAGTATTTTAGATTTGATTACTAGTCTTAAATTTATTCCTGTGATAATCTAGTTGTTTTACTGTCCTTCGTCGAGAGGTGTTTCATAATGTAATTGTGTTTATTGTTAATTTATAACTTTTTGAGTCACAACATGGCTGCAATATTGCCGATGTGACTATAAATTTTAACTCACTCACTCACTAAGGGGCCCAGGCATATCATGTACAGGCTACAGTTGGAAAATGGATTAATATAGTCCGTTTGGCTCAAAAGCGGACCGATGAATTGCGAACTAACTCGAAAACTGATAAACATATAATACTCAATGTTTTTATTATGATCAGCGTTTCATTGCGTACTATTTGTTTATCAGTTTTCGAGTTAGATTGCAATTCATCTGTCCCCTTTTGAGCCAAAGGGACTATAGCGTAGCGTTGCGTAAAGAGCAATATTGTATTGGACACATCCTAATACATATCATACCAATGAGTGCGATCACTTTTAGCTTGATAATGGTGTAAGAATTTACACCAAAACGTCGCAATAAACAAGAAGCCTTTCTGTTTCGTAAGGTTGTAATGTGCTAGAATAGGTTTTCAGTAACCCATACTTGTAAGAGGCCACTAGCGGGATCAGGTGGTCAGGCACGCTGGGTTGGTTGATGCATGTCATCGGTTCCCAGTTGCGCAGATTGATGCTCATGATGTCAATTTCTAGGTTGTCTGGTCCAGACTCGATTATTTACAGACCACCGCCATATAGCTGATATGGCGTTTAAGAACAACAACAACAAAACCGGAATTATTACTATCTGTATCATCTGACAAAGTGGCACTTTCTCACTGTATATCATTCCTCGTGTGGGGATGGAATCAACACAAGCAAAGTATTCTTAAGAACATTTATTTACTCAAGTTTTCCTGCAACAAGAGCAACGGAAGTCACGTTGCCACCGTCCCCATCAAAGGTCATGCTGACGGTGTTGGTTGTTTTCACCAGCGATGCTGGTACCATGAACTCCCACACGTTCCATGTTGTTGTCCTCATTTTTGTTGTCTTCATAGAATCAAACAACATATAGCTTGACGACAACGTCTGACCATTGAATACAACTGCCTTAGGTTTTGTATTGTCTCTCATGCCACGACTAATTCCTACTCTAAGATTGGCCTCATGGTAGCCAGAGCTCGGTACACTGATGGTTGTCTGTGCACGTTCATTGCTGATGGGAATGAGCATGTCCCTGCCATAGTATGTGTTCTGATTATCTGTGTGTAATCTGTTAAAGATGTAGTTGGTTTGAAACTTGTAGAAGCATGTTGATGATCCATTAAGACCGACGGTGCCATTAACCCCGGATATGTTGAAATGGTAATCTGCATGAACAGCTGGCTTACCCTTTTCGAACAGAATACATGTCGCTTCACCCGAAGAAGGATTGATCCAGTTGTTTTGGAAGTCCAGTTTTACATTCTCAAATTCACTGCCAAAGTTGTGGAGAAGAACTACCATCTCATTGGTGTGAGGATTTGCTAGTGCAAGTGGTGAGACTATTTTCTCCTCTCCATCGTATTGACTAGAGACTCGGAGAAACTTTTGATCATCAATAAAGTTTTTCCAAAATAGAAAGAATTTGGTCGCATTAAGTGGATGACCATCTTTTGTGAATAAGGAATTCCGAAGGGCAGTATGGCCAGGGTATTGTTCATTTGCGAGGAGATACACTGTAGCTCTGTCCATAAACTCCCTGAGGTTAAGGAAAGAAAACATGAAACCGTTTGCTTGATAAATTGTCTCAAAGTCTATCAGTCCATTTTCAAAATCGGGCGCAATGCCCATGGTAAGTAAACCTACTCCAAATTCAGTGTTTACTAATTGAACACTTTTTCCTTTCTTGAGATGAGAATAATTCTCAACCATGTCAAGAGAGGCAAACAAACGGTCTTCGTTGATACCATAGTAGGATTCGCTTGATGCATTGAAAATATGATTGTAGGAATGGAAAGAGAAAAAGTCCAAGTGATCAAGAGACATGTCCATAAAGTTAGCAATTTTCTTCCAGAAGATGAAGTTATTTTCATCTGCTAGTCGTAAGGCCATACTAGTGAATGATGGTCCAGCCACTTTCATTCCAAATCTTGATTTCAGTTTGTCGGCGACGGCCCTGTGGTAATCTATATTGGTTTGTGGATCAATATACTTTTCATCCCAATCAGGTTCATTGATGACTTCAAATATGTAAGGAAGACGTCCTGATGTGTAGTTCTTGCAGCTCTGAACCATCAGTGAGACAAACTCGGATGCAGCGTCAACATCGTTTGGGAATTTGTCTTGATGCTGAGACTTATCTATCCAGCTGGGCCAGGAGAGACCTGTAAACAACCAGCATATACGGTAAGAGAAATATTACGAAAGAAATATTCATTGGGTGTTCACCCACTTTAAGCGTTAATAAGTTTGTGTAGACAGGTTAAGTTACTGCCATTTTCAACTGTTGTTATAAATGATTATGAGTAACCTGCTTTCAGAGAGGTAAGAAGGAAATTGGACTACCTACCAATGAGAAAAGAGTGCTCTCAGTTCAGCTTGAAACACCGCAAAATTTGTTTCACGTCTGTTCTGTTAGTAGTTATATGTATTAGTTAATGGCATACTTTTCCCATGTACTTCTACACACTTGTATTCATAGAATATGTATTCGTTTTATTTTGGGGCTAAATTAGTCATATTTGAAGGGATGATGCAAATTCAACTATGGTCCATGCAGATAGGAAAACGCGCTGTAAGTCCCCATGGTCCCTAGTGTCGTGATCTTCCACTTGTTGACGACCTATAGCCTGTTTTTATATTGTCTTCAAAGGTTTCAGATTTACATGCCAGGTTTAAACACCATATGTAAAACTCAACTCATTGTCAATCCTTTGATGACTGGATTTTTAACAACTTGCATTTATTATGAATGCAAAACGTTTATCGTCACTGTATGGCTGAAACAGTGGTGACGTTAAAGTTTATTTCACTCAGTCACTCTTTGAGAGGATTAAAAGAACAAACCTTTCATTTCCCAGGCCATATTGGCGATGTAATTCCCATAGTCTTGCAATTGTTTGAGATACGTCAAAAATGTCCGTCTCTGCAGTGGTTGGTTCTGTAGATAGGTGGGGTCCGGATAGCCATGGTGACTAGGGCTTTGAGGCCACTGAATAAAACAATATAAGATTAAACCAACAGTTTTCTCTGTGAATAATTAAAAGATAAACAGTTACGTTTGTTATGGCATTCATCTAAATTGCATTTTTAGCCACTGAAGGACAATATTTTTCACAAAAGTAAAAGAAATGAACATTTTAATGATACAATTGTAAATGGGTGTTCAAGGAAAAACAGTATAATGGTGTATTCCTTTATGTTGTGCCATGGGTCGCTTTGATCAGTTTTATACTTGGAGTCAGCTAAGTTCTTCCAAGGCGTGTAGAAGTTGGATGAACATGGATAAATGACACGTTTTATGAATAAGAACTTCTGTCTCACGACGTTTCAGAGATTATTCTTGCTCTTTCACCAGATTGAATAAAAGATAAGATGCAATCCATAAATAGTGTCATATATTCTTGGGGTCAGTTACACCAGAGCAACAGAAAATATGCAACAGAGTCAGTTTATTTTCTATTTCCCATTGACATTTTAGAGATGTGTTACATTTCTGATTTTTTAGTAAATACAATTATTTCTCAATTGGAAATCTTACATTCAGATATTTTCCTTACCTCCTTACAAATGAAATTTCTACTGACACAACTGATCATGGAAGCAGGACCAGTTCAAACGAAGAAGTTGTTGGAACTTACGACAGAATTGGTTAGTTTGTCCCATTTGCAGTCGTTTCTGCTTTTCTAACATTGAACTCCGCCAAAGACCTAAGAAAAGTGATTTTAGGAGGTCTGCGATTGTGTGGGGAGACCATGATAGCGAATGAGTATCGAAGAGGGATTGGTTGGTTGGTTGGTTGGTTTGTTATACTCAGCAATATTCCAGCTATATGGCGGCGGTCTGTAAATAATCAAGTATGGACCAGACAATCCAGTGATCAAAATCATGAGCATCGATCTACGCAATTGGGATACGATGACATCTGTCAACCAAGTCAGTGAGTCTGACCACCCGATCCCGTTAGTCACCTCTTACGACAAGAAGGGTTACTGAAGGCCAATATTCTAACCCGGATCTTCACGGTCATCTTTACTAAGCAGTACCCTAAATTCTGCTTGGACCAGAACTATCAAACACCTGCACCAATGGGTCACTTTGAATAATTCAATCTGAACCAGTAAATACATAACTGAACTATGAGCAACTATCTGCACCTTGCGAAAATATACTGGACAAAAATAGTTAGGGATATATGTAAATTTTGAAATTATTAATAATGATCTATTTATTCATTGACACACTGATAAAATATCAATCATAAAAATACCAATATCCCTAACTTATTTTGTCCAGTATAGAACACACACTGTCACTCCGAACCCATTTAAGCTGCGTAAAAAGACTGCTCCTTACAATATACCGATTCAATAGGCAAACAAGGACATGAATCATGAATCACATCAATCACGAACTATATTTTTGTATGAAAGATGTTTTTACTTCATACGTACATTTACAAAGAGATTATCTCTGAGGTCTCTGTTTACCCAACGCCCAGGAACCGCTCCGATAGATTTCATACTTGGAATTAGGCTCAGTTGGGTGAGCCCATTTACGTTGTTCCATCGTTCAACTTCATAATTGACCCGTCCACCCTGGGAGAGCCACTCGTTGTAGATTGTGACAGTTGTGTCAGAAAACGCCGATTCCAACAGCAACAAAGTGTTCAGAACTTGTAGAAACATTCTGATGTGAAAAGATGACATGTCTGGTCGCCAACGTGGCCTTTTAACTGTCAGCTGTAATCTGCATGTGAAAGGAGCAGCTGACATTCCTCGAATAACCAGTGTAACATATTTCAGACACAAGTAGACAAAGTAAAGTTTTCCAGACTCAACATAACGTTCCTCGCTGCTCATATCATATTTAAACGACTTCGAGGAGACCCTTCATTATCTTTCTATATGTCCCAACTATATTGCCTTAAGAAACGATTTATTTTGTTTCAAACATTGATATAACATAAATGACGCACTGTATAGTAACCTAGAATTACCCAAATGTATAAATCATGATATTATCAAATCAGTTAATAATGGCTTTATCAGTACCTAACTTTAAGATGATTTCAAGAAGATTTAATCAATCTTATGTTTTCATCTGGCACTTTGAAGAACTGACAGTATTTTTGCTGTATGGACGTTTATATTCATGTATATTGTGTGCTTAATGTTATTTATGATATCATGTACTTTTGTAATAATGTTATGAAATGCAAGTAATTTTGTCTGGAGAGGAATTAATATAAGTTTTTTCTTTGTTTGCCGATCCAGTTTCCGAACAATTTATCAAAAGAAAATATGTTTAAACCATTTAAACGTTATCCAGCACACAGTCGGTACTATTGGGATGTGCATCGCTCACTAGAAAAATGATCTACATAAATTATTGAAAACTATTCAAGATTGCATAATAAAATCGGATCGATTTGATATTGACTGCCAAACAAACGAATATATTCATGCATTTTCCTTATCTTGATAGCTGATAATTAAGAATAGTATCATCGTTGTGTCATCTGTTTCGTATTTACCTCTCTATGTATTTGCACAATGGGCGCGCCTACAAATAACTCCCCGGAGCGTGTTTGCCAATTCATTTATGACGTATATTTTCATGAATAAATTATGTTTAAATCACACAGTCTTAAAATTCTATATCACGTTTGTTTCCACAAATTACCATGGAATATATAATTATGACAAGCATGTTCTGATATGTGATCGTACTGTGTCATGACACTGTGAACTAAATCCCCGTTGCTATATATGGGAGCATAATCAAGCTTGCTCATAACAGAGGAATTTTCACATCTGATACCTTTCTTGTTAAAGAGAAATATAGACTTCAAAGCAACGATACACTGAATTTCGTATAACTAAAAAGAAGCCAATGCGGTATCAGAGAAACGATAAGGAATATGTTCTATTTTTGTTTTACCTGTGACGGTTTCAAGGCCAGCGTGGTCTGTGGATAAAAGTACATAGGAGTTACGGCCTTTGATATGCTAATGTGGAGCTCTTGTGTACAAGATAGTCATTTCGGTATTTGGGATGGGTTCATTCCTGCGATAGATGACAAGGTGCAAGAGTCAAAATACATTCCTTTTTGTTATCTAAAAATACACACAACCATACTTAAGATTGCGACCATGTTGTCTTATGGAATGTAAGGCTGCGCCTTATTCTGGTTACCTCATAGCTAAGTGTAAATGTGTGAACACCGAGGAGCGTTCTATGGATATACAACTCTATATGTTTATGTTTAATATGAGCGACCGTTATCAAGCAAATAATGTACAATACTGCAGGCAAGGCTATATATAGACATTTTGTTATAGTTAATTATTTCCCGTGACAAAAGGTTTAAGAGTCCCCCTTTAAACCAGCAAAATAGAACACAGACAAGTCTAGAATATTCAATAATGTATTGAACAAACAATGAGCAAGCTACAATGAATTACAATACAGATTTCTAGTACAATGCAATTGAGTCACAAATCTAAAATATTTGGTCACAAATATAAAATATTAACTCACCAGAGACTTGATAGTTACAGTGAATGCAGATATTCTGATTGAAGGTTGTTTACAATGACAGCAGTGGAATAGACAAGCTGATTGAAGGTTGTTTACAATGACAGCAGTGGAATAGACAAGCAATTACATCTATTGCCTAGTGCTCACGGGCATTCTGTTTTTATTTATCTATGTGATATTTATGACTGAACACCTGTGCTATTTTGGACATTTTGTGCGCATATATATATATATATATATATATATATATATATATATATATATATATATATATATATATATCTATATCATGCCACGTTCTCAGACGTCACGAAAATTGATAGTCTGGGGGCTATTTGTTTATAATAGTCAATAGGCTATTTGTTTGTAATAGTCAATAGGCTATCTGTTTACAATACTCAATAGGCTATCTGTTTATAATAGTCAATAGGCTATTTGTTTATAATAGTCAATAGGCTATTTGTTTACAATAGTCAATAGGCTATCTGTTTATAATAGTCAATAGGCTATTTGTTTATAATAGTCAATAGGTTGTTTGTTTATAATAGTCAATAGGCTATCCGTTAATAATAGTCAACAAGCTATCTGTTTATATTGCAGGAGACGTAGCTGATTCTTGATTTTCACTCACCGAGAAGATGGTAAACATTTGAAACGATTCATGAAGATAATGTATTTTACTTATTGGCGTGTAAACATTAGTGTATCCACGAATGGCAGGTTGCCAGATTTGATGGGTCGGGAGGGTGGAGCTGACTAATAGCCACGCGTGTATGTGCTCGTTAACGGTACATTTAGGTTATCAGTAAACCTTGACAAGATTGACAAGTCATGAGAACAGCTGCACATTTTATGTCAATATCTGTAACTCCACATGCAACTCACATGCTTTCAAGAATTAGGTAGCAGATGTGTAATAGATAACAGATAATAATTTTATAATTTTAGAATATAATTATAACCTAGAAAAGATATTACTGAACAAACTTTATGGACAACAACTTACTTTATTTCGTGAGTGCAACGTTTCGATACATTATCTTGTACCGTTGTCAAGCAGGAATCACAACGGTACAAGAGCCTGTATCAAAACGATTCCTGCTTGACACCGGTGCAAGAATCTGTATCCAAACGATGCTTGCTTGACAATGGTACAAGAATCTGTATCGAAACGTCACACTCACGAAATATTAGAAGTTGTTATCCATAAAGTTTGTTCAATAGTGTACTTCCCAACTTCTAAAATGGCACTCAAAGAAGCTAGAAAAGACACCTTAGTACTTAATTTGAAAACAAGTAAAATCTTTAAACGCCAAAACTTTAAGTACTATTGTATATGAAATGACCTTACAAATTTCAGATGCACTTCAAAGAACTGTGACATGGATCCTGATATAGGTCACAAATATTGCATTGACACTGGTCATGTGGTAATTCAGAGTCAAAACTGACACACACACACACACACACACACACACACACACACACACACACACACACACACACACACACACACACACACACACACACACACACACACACACACACCGACATATATACTGGTTGTGATAGTCGACAGAATGAATTATTGAGTGGACGGCATGCATCATTCCCTTCAATGCTATAGCGTGTAACGCATGGACTCGGTTATTTACAAGCTGCCTCTACATTTAGTAGTGTGTGGCCAATGGTGTTGTCATTTGCTTTATTTAACGTTGCGCGCACAACTAAGGTGTTTCGGCGACGGGGTAGTACACTTATTAAGCAATGAGGGGGAGCATAAAATAGAAATTTTGAAAGAGTAATGTTACTACCCAAAACAAACCAACCCCCCAAAAACAAAAGAAACAAAAACAAACAACAAAAAGAACACAAAAAAAAAAAACCAACCCCAAGAACAAACAACAACAACAACTGAGTAATAAGGGAAATATAAATGGGAGGCCGAATTAAAAAGGTAAAAAATATGAAATAGGTACAGAGCAAATACTACTTACATCAGATAAGCGTATATGCATTTACATAATATACAAAACAGCAGCTTACAAGATACAAGATAAAAAAAATATTTCATTTTCTAAATGCATTAAATATGCGATTCAGTAAGTTGGGAAGGTCGCTTAAGCTGGTGGTAGACAAGAGTTTCTTAAAGATGAACAAATTTGGAAATTCTATGTATTTAGTGTTCACAGACTGACGTCGCAGTTGGAGGAAAGCTTCACATCTAAACAAATAGTGAAACTCGTCTCCAACAGCGTTTGAAACACAAAGTGGACATTGTCGGTCTTCACTTCGAATGCCAAACCATCGGCCTGTCTCAACTGGTAATTTATGGTTAGATGTTCTAAACTTTAAAATTGGGTAATATATGCTTTTTGGAAGAAGAAGATATTTTTCTAAGATTGGTTGGGTTTTGTAATATTCATAATAATCCCCCTTGGAACTTGAATAAACATTAGACTGCCAATTTTTGAAAAAGAAAATGGAATCTGTAGGTGTTTTCGACCATTGAGACAAGTCAGGGCGTCGAGCATACATACGGATATACAAACACGTAGGATAGACCGCAGTTATCAAGGATATGTTTCACAAAACGTAACCATGGGATTTTATTTGTATTGTCACAGATGTGGTTAACAAAGTTATATATAATCTGGGATAGTTTCCAATATGTGTTCTCAGAGGCTAATTTATGCAAATGTGAAATAAATCACTTATAGATTTTGATACTCAAAGGTTCTCTTCCAAATTCACCATAAAGCATATAATTTGGGGTGCTATTTCTCAAACCGAAAGCTAATTTTAGAAATTTTAAGTGAATTCTTTCTATTATTTCTCGTCTCCCCATATATCTCAGCCATACAAGAGAATTGGAACAACCATAACGCCAAATGCTTCTAAAAGGCAATCTAAAGGTAAATTAACCCTTGGATTTGTCATTACAATATACTGTTGTCTTTGTGCAATAATCCTATCTAATTGGCTCCGTAATTACATTATTATCTTTGTACATTCTCCCACCTTGAGTTGTGTAAACGTGTTCTATCTATATATATTCTCTCTGTGCACTGACTCAACATTCACCTGATGAAGGAGCTAGCAATAGCCCTGAAACGTCGTATAAAGATTAAACAAGAAGTTGGTATTCAAGTATAGAAAAAATATTATTTAATATAAGACAAAATATTATGGATGTGAACTTCTTCTTTATTGTATACACGACGTTTCTGGGCTATTCCCTGCCCCTTCGTGATTCACCTGACGAAGGGGCAAGGAATAGCCCAGAAACGTTGTGTATACAATAAAGAAGAAGTTCACATCCATAATATTTTGTCTTAAACAAAAAGTTGTTATCCATTAAAAAGGTGTCATGTGTACTTGCTATGCTGTTACTATTGTACTGTGTTTATGTTACCTGCTCGAGCACCGGCAGACAAATAACCGATTATGACCAGTGAATCGCATCATAGAAATAATTCTACGAAATTGTAATGCTAAAGAATGTACCTTTATTATTTTGTTTTAACTCGAAACATCAATTTGTTTGAGTGGCATTTTAGAAGAAGCTGGGGAGTACAACATAGAAACACCTATTGATAACAACATCTGTTATTTTGTGTGCGCCACGTTTCGATACAGATTTTGTCATGTTGTCAAGCAGGAATGTAACATGAAATGTAGGGAATATATATATATGTATGTATATATATATATATATATATATATATATATATATATATATATTGCATAACAAAGAAAATAACGTAACTATCATATAATTACCTGGCAAGTAAGCTGATAGACCAGTGAGTTATAACAATTAACTGTATGTTCAACTCCCCTCTTTTGAACTACCCCTTTGATTTGTACATATCTGACTTCCATGTCTTGACCGCCTCCGTGGTGTAGTGGTTAGAGCGTCCGCCCGGAGAGCGGAAGGTCGCGGGTTCGATCCCCGACCGCGTCATACCAATAGACGTTAAAATATGGTACTTGTTGGTCCCTGGCGCTCGACATTAATGGGTACAACAAGGACGACTCGGGGTCAGTATACTGTGTCTGAGTGGGGTATTCATGCTTCACTGCGGCATCGTATCTCAGTGGGCTAGCACTATAAAACCAGCTTAAGTCTGGGCTAGTACAAGAAGCCACACATACACATACACATTCATGCACGTCGTCATATGAGCGTAATATTCTCAAGCACGACGTTAAACCCAATTTCACCTCACCTCACCTTCTCGTTGTTAACTTACTGGCGCAATCAGCTTACTGTTCAGCGAATTGTGTAAATTATATTCTTGTCTTTGTTATTTAGTATATATGCATCCCCTCCACATCCTGCATCTCATATATTGACCTGTTGTTCTATCAATGTCCATTGGTTGATCCAAAAGTTTGATATACCCCTGGGCCCCGTTTCACAAAGCTTTCGTAGGCCTAAGATCTCGTAACTTTTCTCGTAGCATTGGTACCTGCTATACTGTAACATTGGAGGTACGAATGCTACGAAAAAAAGATACGAGATCTTAGGCCTACGAGAGCTTTGTGAAACGGGGCCCTGGGTACTGGGCAAAATTTCCACGTTCTTCTTTGGCAGTTAAAGACGGTATCGCAATCAGAATCACATTATAAACTCGCCTTCTATGGCAGACATAGTGAATGTGTTAGCACTTGAAAAACAGTTATCAGTTATAGCAATGCACGCCACCTCTTTCAAGTGTCTAAAATACTGCGCTGGCTTCAATTTACGTAACTTCCAAACTGATGCTGTGGATACATCGATGGCATTAATCATATCCAACATAATACACCAGAAAATAATAGATATGGTACTCCAAACGCTGAACTGGCTTCATCTTGACGTAACTTCCAAAATGAAGCTGGGGGTACTTTTGGAACCATCAACACTGCTAATCTGACAGCTCTTTCAGTTACTGTCCAAATCGAATTGTAATATTCAGGGTTTGTATGGACGGGATAAATATATCTTAGAGTTGAATCTTTCAGCTTGTAAAGGCGACTATCTTGTCGTAAGAGGCGACTAACGGGATCGGGTGGTCAGTTTCGCTGACTTGGTTGACACATGTCATCGGTTCCCAATTGCGCAGATCGATGCTAATGCTGTTGATCACTGGATTGTCTGGACCAGACTCGATTATTTACAGACCGCCGCCATATAGCTGGAATATTGCTGAGTGCGGCGTAAAACTAAACTCACTCACTCACTCACTTTCAGCTTGTATCTTGCCTCAGGAACATTTCAATTAGTATCAATCCTTAACGTGTCCACCCGTGAAGATTCGGGTTAGAATTGATCTTCAGTAACCCATGCTTGTCGCAAAAGGCGACAAACGGGATCAGGTGGTCAGGCTCGCTTACTTGGTTAACATATGTCATCATATCGCATTCGATGCCCATGCTGTTTATCACTGAACTGTTTGGTCCACACTAGATTATTTACAGACAGCCGCCATACAGCTGGAATATTGCGGCGTTAAAGAACAAACCAACTAATTAAGAATGATGACAAGTTTTATGAATATAGAACTTCTTTTATTCTGTGAAGTTGTATATCCATAAATAATTGTCATCATTCTTTAGCAACTCAACTTCTAAAATTCCTATCAAATAAGTGAACGAATTAAGTTCAGGTGGGTATCAGTGGACGGTCGTTTTCTATTTGAATGCTATTCTAAACTGACTCATTCAATTTAAACTGAACTAAACCCACTCACCTTCGCGTGTTACCCTCTTTTGGCGTATTATTCCTAGTGTATGGCGATATAAATATATATTATCATAATGCCAGCGATCATTTTTAGCTGATAATGCTGTCTGAATTTACACTGTAGTCGTTGCTGCGCAGTAAACCAGACTCTGTCTTCCATTATGTGGAATCGTTAGCTTGTAATGAACATCTGTGTCTCTTATACAGTCACCGTCTCGCTGCACTTCATTCCTGATGTGAGATTGGAATGAAAAAAAATCTTAAATTCTTAAAGAGACTTTATTTACTAAATTTTTCCAACAGCGAGCCCAACGGAGGTCACGTATCCATCGTTTCCATCAAAGGATAAGGTGACGGAATTGGATTTGGTGATTTTTGACGGAGGGACCGCGAATTCCCACACGTTCCAGTTTGTTTTCCCTTGCGTGCCCATTGCATCATACAGCATGTAACTTGAAGACAAAGTCTGACCATTGAACACAACGGATTTCGGTTTGGTATTGAAATTCTTCCCTCGGCTGATGCCCACTCTAAGATGACCCTCATGATAACCAGTGCTCGGTAGAGTGACGGTTGTCTGTGCACGTCCATTAATGATTTTGATTTGCATGTTCCTGCCGTAGTATGTGCGCTGATTGTCTGTGCGTATTCCGTTGAAGTTGTAGTTGGTTTTAAACTTGTAGAAGCAGGTTGATGTTGCAGGGAGACCAACAGTGCCATGCAGTTTATGCCTGTCAAACTTGAAATCAGCATTAATAGCTGGATAACCATCTTTTAATACAACACATGTTTCTTCGCCTGTAGAAGGGTCGAGCCAGTTATTGGGGAAGTCCAGTTTTACATTCTCAAATTTATTGCCAAAGTTGTGGAGAAGTACTACCAGCTCTTTGGTGTGGGGGTTTGCAAGGGCAAGCGGTGAAACTGTTCTCTCCTTCCCATTGAGTTCACTTGAGAATCGGAGAAACCTGTGATCATAAACAAGGTTTTTCCAAAAAGTGAAGTATTTTGTCACATTAAGGGCATGGCCATCCATCGTAAATAAGGAATTGCGAAGGGAAGTATGACCTGGGTATTGTTCATTAGAGAGGAGGAAGATTGTAGCTCTGTCCATCACCTCTCTCAGGTTAAAGAAAGAACACAAGAAACCGTTTGCTTGATAAATTGTCTGAAAATCCGTCATTCCATTTTCAAAATCTGGGCCAACGCCTTGAAGGTTATCTAAGCCTAATCCAAATTCAGTGTTAACTAACTGAACACTTTTTCCTTTCTTGATATGAGCATAATTCTCCACCATGTCAAGAGAAGCAAAAAGACGAGCTTCGTTGATGCCCAAGTAGCTTTTACCTGATACGTCCGTCAGGTAGTTGTAGGAATGGAAAGAGAAAAAGTCCAAGTGATCAAGAGACATGTCAAGAAACTTTGCAGTTCTCTTCCAGAAGGCAAAATCATTTTCATCTGCTTGTCGTAAGGCCATACTAGTGTACGATGGTCCGCTAACTTTGATTCCAAACTTCTTTCTCACTTTGTCGGCGACGGCCTTGTGGAAATCGGTACACGTTTCTGGGGGGATGTACTTTTCGACCCAATCAGGTTCATTGAGAGGTTCAAAGATAGAGGGAAGGTGTCCTCCTGTGTAGTCCTTGGCACTCTGAATCATTAGGGACACAAACTCTGATGCAGCGTCAAGGTTGTTGGGGAATTTATCAAGATGCTGAGATTTATCAATCCAGCTTGGCCAGTGAAGACCTGCAAAGAAACAACCGTCCCAGTCAGCTTAGTGAGTGAGTTTAGTTTTACGCCACTTTTAGCAATATCCCAGCAATAACCAGAAGTGCGATTCACACATTGTACCCACGAGGGGAATCGAACACGGTTCTGCGACGTGACAAGCCAAAGCTGTAACCACTGGGCAACCTTCCCTGTCAGAGAATTTTAAATTAAGCTCATCGCATTATAAACTACTTGATGTGTGAAAGAGAGAGAGTGGATTGGTGAAGATGTAAATACATGCAACTAGACGTCAAATATACGTTCATTGCCGAAAGAGATTGGGGCGCGAAATGAGATTCCCAAAATCAACCCCCGGTGCAATAATTGAAGCCTTATGATCTTAACTCAAAACATGTTCCATATATCTGCTCTACAGATTGCAGTTTTCCCATAAACGTCTCGAAATGATTTAAATGTCATCTCAAACCTTCTATGTTCCAGAAACGGTACTTTAAGTCCCCATCGCCCCAAGTATGGTGATCTACCTTCCGTTGTTGGCGATCTGTATCCTGTGTTTTTTATTGCATTGTGTTTTTTTAATTAAAATGTTTAGTTGTATATTCATATCTGTGATACTCTACTATTTTTACTGTCCATCGCCTGTTTTCATCACAATATGGCTGAGATATTGCCGATATGACGTTAAATATTAACTCACTCACTCACCTTCTATGTTCCAGACCATGTCGTCAATGTAATTCCCATAGTTCTTCAGTTGGATCATATAATTTGCGAATGTCTTGGCCTGCATGGTATGGTCTTGGAGATAGCTGGGGTCTGGAAACCCGTGGTGACTAGAGCTTTGGGGCCACTGAAAAGAGGACGACAATAATACAAGAGGAATTTGTCATATGAAGAGTTAGTTTTAGTTTTATACCACTTTTAGCAATATTCCAGCAGTCTCACAGCGGAGACACCAGAAATGACCTTCAGACATGGTACCCATGTGGGGATTCGAACCCGGGTCTTGGACGTGACGATCGAACACTTTAACCACTAAGCTACACAATAGCCCCCATATGAAGAGTGGGTGAGAGAGAGTTAAATAGTATATAGTCACATCTGCAGTATTCCAGCCATATCGTGATTAGCAAGAATTTATACATTCGTGATTTATAAAGTTGCATTATAAAAAAAAATGTCAGTGAAGGACAGGAAAAGAACCCATTATTACAGATGGAAGTGAAACTAGCTGGTCTGTAACTTACACCCTAGGTGGATTCACACCATCCCTGTGCTCAAATTTAGCCATCGCTTAAAACCCCCAAAATCGCACGATTAAATAGCTGGTAGACTTAATATGATAGAATTTCTTATGTTTTAGGACTTACGCCTCTCTCAGGAAGACAATGATTTCACAAATACTTTGACCCTGTGTCAGGATTCACTCACTAACAACTTCAGTTATACAATACCAGTTATACATTAACATACATACATCTAACAATATACTACCACATTATTAACCAATTGAAATTCTTTTAAAAAATCAAGAATTAAATGAATATTTTTAAAAGAGATCCTTCGTAGACGGCGCTTTGAAATAGTTATCCCTTGTCATTGAAAAATCAACACATTCAAGCAGGACATTTTTTAGAGTGATTCTTTCACCACGGGAGATACAGAATTGAGGATCCTCAATGACCAATGAATGATCGCATAATTTAATTAACCAAACACAATCCAGTATTTACTCAAGTCATGGTTGAATGGCCTCTTCAAATCAGAACTGTTTACAGTGGCTGTTACCCGTGAAAGTCGGGGTTAGAATATTGATATTCAGTAACCAATGCTTGTCGTAAGAGGACACTAACGGGATTGGGTGGTCAGGCTCGGTTTCCAGTTGAGTAGATCGATGCTCATGCTGTTGATCACTGGATGGTCTGGTCCAGACTAGATTATTTACAGACCGCCGCTATGTAGCTGGAATATTGCTGAGTGTGGCGTAAAAGAACAAACCAACCAATTAAGAATGATGACAATTTGTATGGATAACTCATTCACTCACCCTAATTAATTCCTTCTTAATTAATCCTAATTAGATAACAAACAAGGGACACCTTCATTAGAGCCCTAATTAGTTTACACTACTGCATCTCTTTGATTCGCGCTGCATCGTGTGTAAACGTGCGGAAACAACTTCAGTTCAGAGGGATATTTGCCCATAAAAGGAAGGTGAATATCGAGTTTCTTTGCAAATATCGAGTTAAAAGGGTAATTTTGCTTGTTGGAACCATGAAATTATACTGAGATATACGAAATATGGAGACATCCGTATCGAGTTAAAGAGCTTGAATAATGATAAATTATGAAGGATTTTATCGGGACCGAGATGTTATATCGAGACAACCGAGTAATCAGAGTTCGACACAACGTTGGTCGACTGTATATGGTAATCTGATCTGTTATTGTTTGCCCGAATAGGGCCTGTAAGTCTCGCGAGGCGCTACTTCCGGTACTTAGCCGGTTCCCGGCTCGCCGCTCACTTGCGATATGCGAGACGGGGCCGAGCTTACTTCCGGTACGAAATTTCAGGTGACAAGCGTACATTCAAGAACCAACTCTGACTCCAAATTGCGCGACCGCCAAATATGGCTTTACCAGACCAGACCCAAGTGTCCAACCATGCTTATAAAAATAGTGCGTTTGGCTCAAAAGTGGACCGATGAATTGCAATCTAACTCAAAAACTAATAAACATATAATATTCAATGAAACGCTGATCGTAATCAAAATATCAGATCAACTCTGTGATTTGTTTGCAGAATTTATGTCGTAAAATTAAAAAAAGTTGTTTAACAAACTATCATTAAAATATTGACACAGTTCACTATTTGTTACGAGAGAGGAGTGCAGAGAAAGGGACAGCCAGGTGTTAGAGAAGCACGTGCACAAGTGCCGACAAAGTGCCGATTCATTAACCTGTGCTGTGCCGTCTCCATCCTTTCTCGCACACCAAGCTGTCCCTTTCTCTGCAGTCCTCCCTCAAATAGTGAACTGTGTCGATATTTTAATGATAGTTTGTTAGACATAAATTAGATATTAGGATAAAAGGATTATCGGTTCCTTACTGTCATTGACAACCATGAGCCCATTCGAAAAGGTTTGAAACGGTGTTTGTCATCGGAAGTACTAAACAACGTAAGGTCTCGCGAAGTGCCGTGGCCTACGGGTCCTCTATACAATGTACCGCCTGTCAAAGATCCCAGCTGATGTGGCTATGGCCCCACTCAGGTCGATTCTGACTCTCATACCACGGTGCTGCTAAGTCTTAACCTTAACCAGACCAGAACCAATAAACCTTTGTAGCAGAGGGATACGGTGAATAGTATTATGCTGTCCCTGAGTAGTTGAACTATAATCAACGATCTGCACCCTAGCAATACAAAGAAATTGTAGCTGCCCCACTCACCCTGTCACTCATTCCCATTTTAAAATATGAGTGAGTGAGTGATTTAGCAATATTCCAGCAATAACACGACGGGACTGAAATGGACTTCGCACATTGTACCCATAATAATAATAATAATAATAATGTGTCCATTTATATAGCGCCAAACTAGGTATGCTCATAGCGCTAACAATCAAGGCCATTATTACCCCGGATAACCCAAGCTGCCTGTAAGGAATCGAACCCGGGTCTTCAGCGTGACGAGCAAACGCCGTAACCATTAGTCGACGCCACTGCCCCTTTCAAATATACTTCTCTTTACAATAGACCGATTCAGTAGTCATACAATACAATATCATATGACTACATAGGAGCTGAATGTTTCTTTATACTTACCTTTGGAAAGAGATCGGCCCTCAGATCTCTATTCACCCAACGCCCGGCAGCCGCTCCGACGGCTTTCATCTTTGGAATGAGGCTCTGTTGGGTGAGACCATTAATTTTGTTCCATCTTCCAACTTCAAAATGCATACGTCCACCCTGGGAGAGCCACTCGTTGTAGATGGTGACGGTTGTGTCGGAGAACGCCGCTCCGCAGAGAAACAAGGAACACAGAACCCGTAGCCACATTCTGCAATGAGACAATGGCACTTCAAGTGAGCTACACGGGCTTTTAAATGTTTTCCAAGGCCGACGCATGTATGTGAAAGCAGCATGTGACGGTTGAGATGTTATCTATGCAACGTATTATCTATTAGAGAGAGTAAAGGTGACTCAGTGTCACTCCGCCATGTTTGACGTCAACCAATGGGCATGTTGAAAGTTTCAAATTACTGGGTTTCCAGCTGTTAGAAGAAATGATTAAAGCATTATTCCCAAGGATTTAAAAGAAATTTGACAAACATGTTATGCCATGAAGGTTATAGTATGGTGATTTACTTTCTGTTGTTGGCAATCTATAGCCCGATTATATTTTGTACTGCCTTTAGTGATTTAATTTTATGATAGCGTACCAGTTATAAATTTATATCTGTGACGCTCTATTTTTTTATAGTCCTTCGATGACAGGTTTTTTTTCCGTTCTAAATTTATTGTTTTTTAGTTTTGATATAAATTAAAATTGTTCTCGTCACGATATAGTTGAAATATTGCCGATATGACGCTAAATATTAACTCACTCACTCGTACATATTTAGGATCGCTCAAGCCGCCTTTGGAGGCTCTCTGGCATGGTTTTCTTCGCTCTTCAAGGTGACGCAAATGACTTGTGATCGGGTTCATTTCCTAAGTGCCATTGTTCACCTGCATAAAGGGCAAACTAGGGATCGGGGTATACGTCACTGAAAATTAGAAATCAGAGCATGATTCAATCCATCTTAAAACTTTGTTTTCAGGAATCACAGATAGATGTGCCAGTGAAATAATGTTTTACCACAATTCAGTCGCAGAGGTAGGCATACATGAAGATATATTTATCAGCATTTTAAAAGGAAAAGTATAGTTCATTATATATAATTTTCATAAAAACAAACACTTGTGGGCTAACAAGACTAGCGTGTCACTGGTCAGAATATTCAGAAATTTTGTTAGAAGAAAAATGGCGATTTGAAGTTGAGTCATTTGGCAATCCTCCTGGGATGAAATTTTCCTTGGTTCTCCTGTTTTAGGATTTTCGTCACTTTCCCCACAATCTGACAATTGTGCTATTGCTGACGTTAAATTGAAGCCTGACTTCAAGTTTTCACCGACCGGGACATACCTTATACATGCTCCTACCCGCTTCTTCAATTAGGGTATGCCGCCTAACATATATTTTACCCCTTTATGAATGAAGATGAGAGTGTGTGTTTTAGAGTGAGTGAGTTATTATTTAACGTCACATCGGCAATATTGCAGCCATATCGTGACGAGTGTGTTTTAGAACCACAGGAAGAATTGAACGTGTCTGTCCATGAGCTGTACAACATGTTTTTTACACTGCACTTACCCTGTTACATTCTGCACGAGCATCCTATGAGGTTAAACGGGGAGGTTGGGTAGCCTAGTGGTTAAAGCGTTCGCTCGTCACGCACAAAGACCCGGGTTCGATTTCCCACATGGGCACAATATGTGAAGCCCACTTCTGGTGTCCCCCACGGTGATATTGCTGGAATATTGCTAAAAACGTAAAACCATACTCACTCACTATAAGGTTAAACCAGTGAAATGAAAAGTAAACACGATGGATACCTTCTCCTAATAAAATTATCTGACATATTTTTCTAAGGCTTTTAAAAGTAATAAGCTGTATTAGTCATTATTTTTTTTTTCGTGGAGTTTACATTTCGCAACAGCAAAGTACGTATACATCATAAAAGAAACTTTCCATTATCCCATATTAGTCAGGGAGCTAAGGGCTATTTTCAGGGCATTTGGTTCAGATTCTACCAAAAGCACCAAATTTGGCACAGAGGTAGCTTAAGGCATACTAATTCGATTCCAGACGGGCGCGAAGATGAAACATCACTGAGGGTGGTCCATAGAGGTTGCCAGTTATTGCGGTCGTCTTTCTGCCAACCCCAATCACTGAAGTCAGTGATTTCCTAGTAAGCAATGGTTGCCTGCTCCCAAAAGAAACTCGTCTGCAGAATCTACGCAGCTTGCGTAGGCGGGAGTGTTTCCAATGACCTGCTTCCAGTAGTGAAAAGGCGATGCCTTGCTTCATTCACGCGCCCTACTCCACAACTTCTGCTGCACATCAGTACAACAAATCTTTCAATCTGTTGCATGTGTCTCGACTCAATCACGAAGTGTTCAGGATCCTGTGTGAGAGCCACTAGTGTGTCTGTCAGGTCAGGTAGACTTGTCCAGGTTGTCCATGCAGTCTTCTTTCCACATCCAAGAATATGTGAAGTTGTGTCACAACCAGTAAGACTGTGGAAGAGGGGTAATGCCAAGGACTTTGATGGACCAAGATGAGAGTACATATCATGGATTTGGATGTCTCTGTAATTTTTACCAGTTCCAAATCCGATCCAGAGCTCTGTTAGATCTAAGGTCTCAAAGAAAGTTATTGCCAAAATCACAACATCGCTGTCAACAGTGTGAACATAGGCTGATGTGTGGCCGTGTTCTGCAGCTTGTCGGAGATGTAGGAGGATTCTTGTGTCAGCCTCGGTATGGTTGCATGGCTGTAGTGTACCCAGGTCACACTGTTGGTTTGAAAGCACATTTTCACAGTGGGTACTCAGAAGGAACTTTCAATCCATGTCCGTTTTGAAGATCTGACAGCTGATGAATGATAAGAATTCCCTTTTGTTCTCCTCATTCTTGAGAAAACCACTGTTCCATTGATGTTTCGGTATCAGGGTGCTGCCATCACCAACTCTTGTTCTTGAACCAATCACACGGCGGTGATAAGTGAGGACTTTAAGATTATTACTCTCTGGGTAGTTATCCCATACCGCATCAACCTGTTGGGCTCCTTTCTTCATCTGGACCTCAAGATATGGAATGACTTGAAGGGACACATAGTCAGAGAATGTTTTTTGCTACTGTTGGGCGCAGCATGTGGCTGCCATATCTAAAACCATGACTGTTGTTAGTTTTGGAGCAGTTGTACGGCCAGTTGGTGCCTTAATACAGTCCAGTATGTCTGACTTCGTTCCAAATCTCAATGACCCTCAGTCAGCTAGGCTTGGTGGTTCCTTTTGATTTTCATACTTGAAAAAGTCGGCCAAGTCTGCATCCGGGCGGGACTTCAAAGAAAGGAAGAGCTGTGTCACCAATATCATGTTTTGTTTCTGACAGTTTGGGTATCCAGAGGAACAAGCTCCTGACCGGTTGCTAGGATTTGGTTTCCAGGTTGTTCAACTGCATGAACAAAAGATAAAATGTCTTTTTGAAATTTGACTTGTAAATGGTGTCTTTCCTCATGATGAGCTGTTGCCTGAGGTGAAAGGGCATGTGTTGATTCAAACTCCTTTACCATCTGCACACAGTCTGGTCCTACAAGCATATAAAGGGTAAGTGCTTCAGGATTCCCATAAAGACCAGTTGCTCCACCGTGTTCCTGGAGGGATTTGTTGGACTGTTCATGGGCTTGGTCCTGGCCATACGACTGAACTTCTTGGATGATTTCTGAACGACGAAATTGCCCTACATAGATTCATCATGTATCTCAGGGTGATTCTTGCTAAGTTCAACCATGTCACGTACATGTACTGGAAGCAAGCGTGCATAGTTTGTGTGGTCTAATGCGTGAAACCAATCACAAAGTTCGTCACATGATTGTACATAAAGTTGGAAGTCTCCTTACCTCAAGACCTCACAAAACGAGCCATGAGCAGTTCTAGTTCAATGATAGTAGACCAGTATTTGAACTGTGGAAAACTTTGAGAACGTTGATCCCACATGTTGAAGGATTCGGGTGGACCCATAACACCCTTGCAATATTCAAAATATGCATTTTGCTTGAGGATGTTCAGCGATATGAGGGAAACCTGGTGGGCATATCTTGTGCGCTTGCTGTGATGCTCATTGAGGGTTGACTTAGCTCGACCAGATGTGAGGATCTCAGCTTGAGTTAGTACCGTTGCCCACCCTGAGTGACGTAGCAGCTTCCTTAGCATTAGATGCATCTTGTCTTCGATGTGCAATGCACCCATCATAGCAACAAGCTTGTCTTCTCCGTAAGCATCTGGGAACTGCCACAGGAGGAGTTTTATAATGGCATATAGTGGCTGATCTGCTCCAAGTACTGTGGTCTGGCCTGGGTTTAAGAACTGGGTACCCCGCATAGACAAATCCATAGCATGTTTCATATAAGATGCAGATGCTGCTTTATCCGGGAAGAGAGAGTATATACCAATCTCTGCTGGAGGTTTCACAGATCTGTCACTTGAAAGAGACGAGTTGTACCCTGCCCAGGTGATGATATCACCCTTTTCTACTGGACCCTTGTTCAATACATATGAGACGTGTGTAATCCATGCCTGATCCTTCTCCATTGAATCTTCTACAACGAGACTTGGTCGGACTTGGTTTGTAGTAGATTTCGGAGCATAGACATCTTTCTCAGAGAATTCCACAGGCTGTTGAATCGTATAAGAGTCTGGCAACTTTGGAGGGGTTGTGTCCATTGGATCCAGTTTTATCGGAGCACGCTTTACTGCCATATTCTCCTTTGATAGATGATTGGTCACACTGAGTGCATAGCCAGGAAATTCATCTTGTGAGAAATTTCCTTGTGCTTTGCTGTCAAGATTATCCACATCACCTGTAGTGAAGACTTTGAAACGACTGTTTGTTGGTACCAAAACTCCATCTTCTGCGTGACAAGCACACATTGCTCTTGCAACATCTCTCTTAACTTCCATGACACGGGTGTAGGAAACTGACAAACCCTGTTCCTTTGCGATCTCAATTTGTGTTTTATTCCGCCCAAATCCATGAAGTTTGAGTCCATAATAAAGAGGGAATGGGGTTTCCCTCCCCATTACTGTGACGAACTACTGATGATCGTACAGTATGATGTGTACCTTTAAAGGTGTTGTAGATAAGTAATTGGGAAATGTTGCTGGCAATTTTCTCCCGAACATCCAATTCTGAATCACTACAGATTTTCTTATACCCATGAAAGACTACTGGACCTTTGAGTACGACATTAAAGAAAGT